AACAACCCAACACATGTAATGGGAATGACGCAACACATACACCAGAGATATGGAGAATTTTGCTATTAATGAAAACATCTCATATAAAGTGACGTAACTGTGAAAATCAAAAGTCGAAATTAGTATGATTACATTGGTATGATTATGAGCAATAATTTATGCTGGCAACGTCATCAAATAAATAATACTAGATCACTCACTTTGTGTTATAAATCAAATAAACAAATTTAATGTGTAATTAAATTCTACCACAGTGCCTATGTTGTGCAACTTTATTAGTGAAATGGAAAATTATTTACTCTGCTTTGAGTATCCAACCTGTGAAGATAAATAGCTAGAAGCTACTTACTTTTACTGATTCCTTTTTTATGGTCTTAGTATATTTCACCGAATTGTTAAACTTTGAATCAGAGTATATTGTTCGCTATTACGGTTTCTAGATTTCTGGTGAAAACCCGGTTTGTTACCAATGTTATTTACTGATATTCTACTGGATAGTAATGAACGTTACTGATTTTCACGGATTCTGACCCACTGGTTGAATGGTTAACGCATTCACAACGAGACCTGAGTGTCTCCAGTTTCGTGGTTGACGAGGTCGCAGGTACAAACTGTTGAGAAGTCCCATAGTAAGACGAAAAACTGCCCGCTGTTACCATGTTTTCAATGGTTTTCCAAATATCGTCGGTTCATAATGAATACTACCTTTAAATAAAATCCACATAAACTTGAAATTACATAAATCAGCGTTATGTTTCCTAGCCCTAAATAATGACCAAATTAGGTGTGACACTATAGTCACCATAGTGAAAGACTTTTGGTACTGATGCTTTTCGCCCGATGTTAAGTTGTTCGATATATTTACAGAAATATGTTGATAAGTTATTTGTGACTCTCCAATAAACGATGTTTTCTCTGTGATCAAACCCCGAGGCACTAAGGGTTCTTGCAAGAGATACTACCTAGAGTTATCAGGTAAGCACAGACTTGCACTATTTAAGAACGTATGGAAGCTGTTTAGATTTACCTCCTTGCGTTTAAGAAGTCGATGAATTTCTTGCCTATTCCTTGTTCGTTAGCTGCATTCAATGTGATTCTACTATATTTTCATTAGCAGAGTACTATAGATACTGCTTAAGAGATTAGCTTGAGGTAGTATTCATCATGGATTGACATCACAGTAGGAAGCATTGAGAACCTGGAAGCACCAGATAGCTGTCTCGTCATTGTATGGGACTCCTCAGCAGGGATCGAACTCAGGACTTTCAAGTTTCACAGCAAAAGCGTTAACCATTTAGCTATTAAGTTATAAGTTCCCAACTTCTTTCAGCTCGAGATATAGCGCCATTATAGTGCTCTCATGTTTTCACTGGTTCCCCAAGTAATGTCAGTGGGTAATGAATATTAACTCAGAATTAAAATCCTCATCCATCTTAAAAATATATTAGAGATTATCTGATTTTCAGTGTTTTACATTGATCACCTTATAATTCCATTTTAGTCTATTGATTAGAAATATCACATAGTAAAACAAGAGCCTTTACTGATATTTCTAATTAACAGACTAAAATGGAATTACAATCGACCATAGTGCCCAAGTTTTACTCTTACATCACCTTATAATTTTGAGATCACTATTAAAACTTTCTAGCGTATATTATTTCATATAAAACGATATATTCCAAAACTTCCAAGTTTCTTACAGCATCATCTATAGAGTTCAGGCCAATCTCATGAAAGGTGTGCATCTAAAATTTCTTCAAACTGAGGAAGCCATGGCAATTAATATTTTGAAGCCTGAACTCTACGGTCAAAGAAATTTGTCCAGTTACTTGAGTTACAATGGACATAACCTATGAAAACATTTTTACCTCCAGAAACCCTTTCATTCAGATCTTGTCACACATTAGATTCCTGTACTTCTCCACTTCTATAATTCTGATTTCTCTTTAAATCCATCAAGTTAAATAATTTAACTTAGTAACCAAATATCTCTTCCACCTTAACAAGTCTTCTTCTCATTACTATCCCAAACATTACGTAACTCTTTTTCAAATATCCTGATTTCGACGGTTCTCCAACTGATGTCAGTTCACGATGAATACTATCTTAGAAACCGAATCCCCACTAACCTCAGAAGTGAATTACTGTATAGTGCTCATTAGTGACATGCTTCAAGATGATTACCACGAAGTTCTAATGAGAATCCTTGACCTGTGGGTAAACCAGTCGGAAGCAAAGCAGATGCCATCTGAAGAACTTGGGTGGTAGTTGCGCTATATTGCCAATTGAAAAAAGTTGAAAACTGTGAATCATTGAATTAAGACTTAATGGCTGAATGGTTAACGCGTTCGCTGTGGAACCTGAAGGCCCTGCATTCGATCACTAGCCTGGTCGTGTTCGCGTACTGCTGAGGAGTCCCAAACAGGGGCGAAACAGCCATCTAGTGCTCCTGGGTTCTCAGTGGTTCCCAAACTGATGTCAGTCTATGATGAATACTACTTCTGAAAGCTTAATAGTACGACAAATTTAGGTTCAAGGCTGAATTCATCAAGGGAGGATTAATGGGATGACTAGTCGTTTCCTTAAATCATAAAACTGACCAAACCTTCTGGTGGCTGATGCTTCAACAAACTTTAAAATACATCCACAACGGGTCTTCTTATAGACGGATTTAAATGACGTTTGTACATTCCATTTTATGCCAAGTTTCACTTATATGTTTAACCGCTGAGGAGCTCAGACGTTAGTTTTCAGCATTGGTCGGATCAGACTACTCTACTTGTTTCTGAAGTTAGGAAGTTCGTTTTCAGGCTCAGATGAGTCAGGTGGCTCTGGATTAACTAAAGGCTCTTTGAAATGTGTTCTGTGGCCCTTATTACCAATGGACATTGAGTCTTACCTCTGTATGTGACCACATCTATAGTTAAAATCGGTAAATAAAATGGGCATCAATGGACACATGGGTTTCGAATTTCCAACTATTCAAAAATCTTTAAATGTACGTGTGGTCACGTATACACAAGGTGGATTGGTCGGTCATTGAAAACAATGGTCATGAAACATATTCTAAAGGGCCTTCAGTAAAAACAGCCACCTAATCCCTCTGAGGTTGAAAGCGAACATCTTAGCTCCTCAACAGCTAAACATATTGATAAAGCAAGGCATAAAATGGGTATACAAACATCACGTAAGCCAATTTAAAGGAAGACTTTTTGGTGACGTATTTTAAAATTTGTTGAGGCATTAATAATCAGGAGGTTTACTTCACTCTATGTGTTCAAAAACAATTTGTCATAGCATTAGCCTACATCCCTCTTACTCGCTATGAATTAACCTCACTCACCTAAGTTATGTATATCTTTCCAACTCTATCGTCTTATTTAAATATATGTAGGATACTCCGTTTCTCACTTTTCTTTGTCTTTTATTCACATACACTTGTCTTTCTAGGTTATCTCTTCATTACCATTAACTCTCTCTTACGACCAGTCCAAACAACTGTCAGGTAACTCGACATCTGAAGAACCTAACCGTACCACAGTCCCAGGCAAACTAGCCGACACCCAACCATCTTTTCTGTATACCAGAGCTGTAGCAGACGAGTGGCTAGATATAGGGCATCAAAATCCACCAAAGACCTGGAACCGTTCCGCAAGACCTAGAAGTGATCATGAAGAAATCGACTAGTTTACACAAGCTCGTCAAACAGATATTGGATATTGGAAACCTTCTTTAATGAATTCGGCTTTGAACCTAGAAGTATTGTACTCTTACTTTTTCCAGTATTTTAAGCTTGTTGATCTTCATTGATGCTTCGACCCTCATTATATAGTCTTCTCATCTGACCGATAACCATTTTCTTACGCCTTACCTCAACAGTTTTTTCATAGGAATGTCAATGTGAAATACTTGTGTGATCAGATTATTTAAAATGTGCTTTGCGCAATTACATTACACTATTCAGACAGCTTACTTCTTCTTACTGTTTTGTCAAAATTCATAAAGGGGAACTACTAAGTGTTTTGAATAACCATTTGACACTGTACTGAATGTATACTACATCTAACCGCCCTCTAGAAGGCCGTTGAGATAATAAAGTCTATGAATTCAGAAGTCATCTATGCACTAGTAACGCCTCAACTTTCCATAGCGAAAATGGTGTAGGGTGACTTGTGGATCCACATTCTCAATGCATGGCTTAAAGTTTAAATTTAATTCTTGTTATTATAATGGTAATTAGTACAAAAACAACAGTTTTTGCTTCAGTATAATCTGGAAGTTAGTGAAAGAAACTGTGAACAGATGCGATAATAAGTACAAAAATTCAATGAAAAATGGGTTTAAATAATTTCTGTTGAGTCTGTATCCAACTTTTCATCTTTAACACTGTGTTTTGGAAGATGTGCCCGTGAAATGTAATGCCAAATGAAGATAACTGTTTGCACGATTGGCGGTTTAACAAACATATGACAGGTTATATTGAGTGGATAGTCAAAGATACCTAAATACTGAATGTACTGATACAAGATTCTGTATAGAATTCATAACGGATAATAATGATTCTATGAAAATATTCAACTGACAAACTGTAACTTCAACAACTGGAAATTCTCATCGACTCGGTCTGAGTTTATCTCTTTAGGCCTAATGAAGAAATCCTCTTCTACTATTGTCCATTACAAGTTTCAGAGAACTGTGTTAAATGAGATTGATTGAAGATGAAATGAAAATTTGGACCACGGCTGGATTGGAACCAGCGACCACCGGGTTTCCCGCCCGATGGTCTACCAATCATCAATCATCACCCAGTATAACTACTAGTCTGCCAAACCACAACTATGTCAAGCAGTCAACATGATAAATGTGGTTGAATCAGTGGCTTGCATTGAACCGATGTCAACGGGAAATGAAAAATAATTCTTTTTCTTATTCTTTTCATAAAATTTACTAAATGTATATTAATTACTCTCTTTTCAGTTATTTAATCAAACAAGTGAATGAAGAAATTTTATGCAAGTAAAGAAATCATGATTTTATCTTTTCTTATCACTGCCGTGATATTTATGCAAGTGAAACCTGTAGATTTATTGATAACAGGTCAAATGACAGTATTAGAAGAATCACCAATTCATACAGTTGTCGGCAGCTTAATGTCTATACTACCCAGTTCTTTAAAACAAGATGCTGGCCAACTGCGTTTTCGTATTATCACCAGTGAACACTCAAAATACCTTTCTGTTGATGTAACAACTGGTTTAATAAAAATTAATCAACGAATAGATCGTGAAAGTATTTGTCCACCGGCATCACAATTCCATACCATATCGAACAGTCATACAACTCCAAACAAATTTACTTCTTTGTGTCAAATCACATTGAATGTCAATATTCTGCGGGTTATGCACACAGCTGTAGACATCATTGAAGTGATACACTTAATAATTGAAATTAAAGATATAAACGATAATCTATGCAAATTTCTACCAACAAATAAACAAGATATTTATATAATTGAAAATTCAATGGATGAAACAGGTGTCATTAAAATACCTATACATCAGTTGGTTGATTTAGATACTGGTCCTGGGAATGGAATCCATCTAGCCGGAATTAAATTGAAATATGACCCAGTGTTCAATGTTTCAATGACTCAAATTTTCGATCTATTGATAACAAATACAAGTTCAGAAATTTCACCCTATTCCTTAAGTCTTTTAATTAAACAACAGTTGGATTATGAAAAAATTCAGGAGTTTAAAATGATTATTGTCTCTAGTAGTAGCAGTGATTCAATTTCCAATGCTGACAGTAAAGATGATGACAGTTTCGGTTACAGTAATGATTTAAACACAACTACTAAGTATAATCAATGTTTCCTAAATATCATTGTACATGTTATCGATGTAAATGATAATCGTCCAACACTTATTGAAAAAACCGCTCATTTGTCTATCATGGAAAACAGTGAAAAGTATAAACCAATTTATACACCGACAGCAAGCGATCTAGATGCAGGACCAGTGTATAGTCAATTGGTATTTGAATTAGATTCAATGAACTCACCTTACATTTTTTCAAATTTTTATATTAATTCACAAAATGGCTCTTTATTTTTGAAACAAACGCTAAATTATAAAGAAAGACCAAAATTTAGAATTTTAATTACTGTTCGAAATCCAAGAGTTGAAGAGATTATGAATCATACTGTGAATATGGATTTAGATCGTGATGTATATGGAAAGCACTACTACTATAAATCATTGCTAAGTAGTACTACTAGTAGTAGTAGTAGTAGTAGTACTGACTCTAGTGTAATAGATAATTCATTGTATGACACAATGGAACTGTTTATACAAGTCATTGATGTGAATGATCATAAACCCGTTATCTCCGTATACACACCGAATGGCAGTCATATATTGATTATACAAGAACATTTACCGAATACAACGCTTCCAATAGATTTTGCTTTAGTCAGTGTTACAGACGATGATAGTGGACGTAATGGAGAGGTGAAATGTGAACTGGACCGAAATTCATCTGATCTATTCAAATTGACATCAATTGGTTACGAATCGAGTGTGGATACACTGATTACTGATAATAATGATAAAGACCAATTAATTGATTTACAATTGAATGATTTAAGCATTTATAAATTATCCTCTCTTGTATCATTTGATCGGGAACAGAACGACACAATCTACGCAATGATCCGATGCACAGACCTTGGAAGTAATCCATTATCTACAGAGTATGTCGCACAGATACATATAGGAGATATTAACGATCATGAGCCTATTTTTCAGCGTACCGATGAATATATCACGCTCATGGAGGATAGTGAGCCTCTGAGAAGTGAAAACAACTATTATATCATACAAATAAATGCAACTGATGAAGATATCGATGAAAACGCGAAAATCACTTATTATATAGTAGAGGAATCTGTTAAACACTTGATTGTAATCAATGAAACTAATGGAGTGATACAAACAAATGGTAATTTAGACAGAGAAACCCATACTTCACTCAGTTTCACTGTGATAGCTAAGGATTTTGGTGAACCAAGTAGATCCTCATCCGTCTTGATTCATATCACTATTCAGGATTACAATGATGAATATCCAGAGTTTGATAAGAGATTATATGAATTTACACTTGCTGAAAATCCTGTACAAGGTTATTATATTGACAGTATTCTTGTAAGTGATAAAGATTTCGGTGTAAATAGTCAGTTGTCATTTTATCTTGACTATAATGAAGGAGAGGGGATCAACTATATGAATGATGAGGCTAATTATGCATCTCCTCAACACTATGAATTAAGATTCCCATCATTACAAAAAAGAAGTAAACCACCGTTTAAATTGACATCGAAACGTTCAAATGATCAACATACCTATGAATTAGGCTTATTTACCAATGGGAAAATTGATCGTGAAGAGGTGATTCGAAGAAACCAGCGTAGAATGAAAACATTACATCATAGTCTGTACAATAACATAAACTCTGAAGATGTGGAAACGCCTATGAATCCTAGAAACATCAAAGAAATGTCATTCTATGAACTAATACTAACAGCAGAAGACTCTGGAATGCCTAAACGAATCTCAACTGCCCTTGTTTATATCAATATAATGGATGTCAATGATGAAGCGCCAATTTTTATGAATCCACTTCAAGAAGATATGATTTACACATTTTCAGTTAATGAAGCATCAGGATATGAAATTTTAAAGGTAAATCTGTTTGATGTTCCCCTTCACCTCGGTTTCGTACTAATTAGTACTTGTCAAAGGGAAATATCTGCAACCTCGAGAGGACTGATGTCTTGTGTGAACTTCAAACATGTATCACCCAGTGATTCAGCCAGAATTCTTCGTATGTGGTATTCATCATAAAACGACAACAGTTGAAAAAAACCACTGGATAACTGTTTTTTCTTGGTACTTTATTTTATTTCTCAACTGCATGACAAATAAATAGCGTTTCGGAAACAGTTCACAGTCCACAGTACCATCATCTTCATCTGCATACTTATTGGACGATGGGCTCTTGCTTCGTTGGTTCGTTGTCAGCCAGCCGGCCAGCAAGCCAGTCAGCCAGCTAGCCAGCCACACTTCCTCCTTGCTTATTCCTATTATTCTGGTCATCCATCTGATCTGCATCTTCAGTATCAAGTGAGCGTAGGTGGCAGCTGTTGATGATGTATGTCTGTAGATTGTTGGAAATGCTTTCCGTGACACACCAAGTCTCTGAAACACATGAAAGTACTGACTTGAACTTGACACTAGTGTTGAAAATCCGGATCTTGTTCACGCTTTATGCTGAGTGCAATGCAGTACAGTGCAGTAGATCTCCACACTGAATTCAGATTGGTGAAGGAAGGTCTGTCTTGCTGTCTTTCCGATCCTGGGTGGCTTTGACATCCTCATCTGTGCCTGTGTTACCTGTAGTTGAGACGATGTTGCCTATGTGGGTAGGTAGGTAAAACAGACAGCTTCGTTTAGATTTCTCCGTCTAGAAACAATGGACTCTCAATATTCAGCAAAGATTATCGTGCGCATAACGTCCTTCATGAATGACACAACTAGTTAGAAATACAAGTTTAATAGTGGAGCTCCAATGGGATAAGAAAAGCAATTCGAAAAAGCAATTTCAGAACATAGAATCAACTAGTCGAGTTCGAACTTCATTTTAACTTGACTATCATTTAATCAGTCACTACATATTCACCAAATTAGTTTATAGAGAACTGATTGGCCTGAATATAGTTTACATCAAAGAATATTTGAATAGAATTTGTTCAGTTTAAAAATTACAGGAAATTAAGCGAAACTTGACAACTGTGTCGTCCTGATTTAAAAGTGCTGAGCAATGTGCACGCATGACCTTAGGTGAGGCTGTCTACACTGACGGTTTTCTTCATTATTTCCAACTTTATAACCTATTAGTCCATTTGAGTGAAATTTTCTTTAGAAAGCAACTTTCTGACTAGCGTCTTCAAGACAGCAAGTATCAACGCGTTAAGAACCTAGATGATACAGTTGAAAGTTCTTCATAATGACGTGGATATATTCACTTAACATCTCATGTTGAAGGTTCAGTATTGAACAGTTCCATGCCATATACAGTTATTTTTCAATTGGTGCCGTTCTTCAACGTTTCGCTTTCTTTTTATGAATGCTAATTTTCATCTTTTCTGCTGTTGTCAAGTTTAATAAGGAAAACCAATGCATATTTATGACACTTACATTTTGTGAGTATCGAATGATTGGAAAGTATTTCTCATCATGAGATGGTTTCAGCTGGAGAACCAGTGAAAACTTTAGAGCATCTGACAGTTGTTCCATTCACCTTTGCAGCTTCTCTGCGTCTCGTGACAAACCTGTCAGGTTTTTCAACAAGTAATAAAACGAAACGATTATCCAGTTCTCTTGGTTTTCGAATTGATTTCAATCAGCTAAGAAAGAAGCTTTTTTACATTTTATAGTTTACTTTGTGTGGCTAGTGGTGCAATCCAGGAAGATAAATTCAACATACAACATAACAGCGAGAAATTACAATTATCAATGAATACTTTCCTTTCTGTTTATGTGTTTATAACGGAGTGAAAGCTAAAAGAAAGACCTTTGCACTAGTAAGAGCCTATACAGACTGATATGCTAATATATTTCCTGGTCAGCTGTGTCTGAAATGTTCATCATCAGTGCGCTATACTTAGACTCAGTTCCAGTAATAAATTTACACTTTCGATTTGGAGGTTTGTAGGGATTTATTGATTTCATGTTCATTTTCATCATGAACTGATATCAGTTACGGGGCCACTGGGCGGAAACTGGGAGTACTGGACAGCTGTTTCATTTTAGCATAGGATCTCCATAACCACACCAGGGATCAAACTCTTGAAGTTCACATTCGACAGAGAGCACACTACCATTGAGACAGTGTGTGTGTGTGTGAATCTGACAGTCCACATTTTTCTACTTTTGGCATTTTGTGATATGGTGTGACCTCCATTCAGTACCGTCGTTGGGTACTTGTCCTCATATCCAATTTGGCTTGCCTCACCGGTGACGATAACTCACTGGGACTTTAGGCAATCCTACCTCAAGGCAAGTCACCAATGAGCAATGGAGAGTTATTCCGTTTTGAAAGTTTGTTGGAATTTATTTGTTTCAGGTTGATATTCTTCAAGAACTGACGAGAATTGGTAAACCACTAGAAAACCCCTTATTGAAAAGCTGCATCTCTTCATTATATTCCTTGAAGTAACCGAGTGGGTAGTAATAATAATAATAAGCAAACAATAATAACGAGATAGGATACTTGGAGTGGTTACGAATAACGACTGTATTCCCTCAGTACTTTACTTTATAATTCATTGAGCCCCAAAAATCAGAAAATAAAGAGTGACCTGCGATTGTAAGGCAAACACTTTATTAGACAAACATACATCACTTATATACGGTTTTTAATGAACAAATTAAAAATCCACTAAGTCAGAAGTTAAATAATTTATTTTGATTGGCCAACTGTAGGACAAAATTGTCCAATAAGTTTTTTCCTGACCACACAGCAACACGAAACAAAGGTTAAAATCCAAAACTTCCACCTTAGTGGCTGGTAACTTAAAATATTGATTTCCATTAAGGCCACTTCTTATCACTCCCTCGATTTTACCGAGGGGACCGATGAACATAATTTTCGAAATCCATTAAAATCAGCGCCGGATACGCAGAGATGATTGATTCAATGTCCTTGGCGTGAATTTTATACTTTTTTCAGTTAAAAATTCTAAGAGGACTGATAATGTCTGAAAGATTCGTACATGAAGTAATCATAGACATTAGGTCTTTTTAGTTACTTCCATAGTTATTTTTGTTACTAACTGTATTCTATGAAATTTCCTTTTTTTATTGTCATCTGTTTAATAGTTTCAAGCCAACGATCCGGATGAAGGTTTAAATGCTGAAATAAAGTATTCTTTAACTGAACCCTTCCAACTAAATGCATATAGCGGGAATGGAAGCTCGTCAACGTGTAAAACTTTAAGCTTCAAATCATTACCACGTCAAAATCTATCCTGTCATATCTTAGAATACCTTCATTTGAATCAAACATCTGGTAGTTTAACTTTACAAAAACAGTTACCAATTAGTTTATCGAATGCAACATGTCGTCTGCGTGTTGAAGCTTCTGATAGTGGAGTGATACCATTGCAAACAGCACGTTACTTTTGTTTACACTTAATGAGTACACATGAATCAAAACGTATAAAATGGATTTCAAACTCCAATCTGCATGTATCTTCATTCTTTTATGGGTACATCATAACAGGAATGATAGGCGTAGGTTTAATTCTCTCCGTAATATTCATATGCATAGCATTCATTATGTGGAAATATCCTAAATTCAAGTTGGACAGAAATGAGATAAAAGACACTCTTTCTTACAATGACAATCAAACATCAAGAATACATTGTGTCGATGAAAGGCCAAATTTATATGATAATGAAGGTATGTCGTTAATCATAAAAGTATCGCACTATTTTCAACAATGATTTTCATATTCCTTACATATACCTATAATTTAAAAGTCAGTCGATAACGTCTTCTTCAGTTAGATACACATTTCGTAAAATATAGCGTCAACAATACTGAGATTTCGAAAACCAGTTTCACAATACCATAACACAATTTGATGGAACTCACTTCTGAAAAATTCTATGCTAACCTAAATGACACAATCAGTTATTACTCGAATTCAATTCGAAATAACTGTGGATAAAAAAGAGTATACCGATAGCATATGAAACACAATAAGGAGACACCTCAATGAAATAACACGGTGTTTCTTTTAACTGGATGAAATAAACTAAGAGCGACAAAATAGGTTAGGAATGCAAAAATAGTAAGAAAGGATATTTCAAACGCCAACCAGAAAACCACTATACAATCGAGTAGAGCTTAAAGTTGACGTATTCAGTGAGGTATTCATTCACAAACTACGCAAATCAGTTAGAACTTTGAATGATGGTAAATTATAAATTTCGTTTTCCACACGTCCAATGGTGAGACCGAGATTGAAGAATGAATTGCCTATTCCAGCCACTCCATCTAGTGTTTATCAGTTCGACTGCTCTAGTGGAGACAGTTGCATTGGCCGCTATTCTAGGAATTTAATTTTATTTGCTGGCGAACAACTTCCATAGTGATAAAGTAGAGGTGCAGTAAAAACCATTACCAGCTCCATATTAGCACAACCGGTTCGAAAAATTTCTTTTGTCGACAATACCACTTCCCAAAGATGAACTATCGTATTTATGCATATCACAAACATATAGCAGTCGATTACTGAGCAGTAAAGTATAACTGTTTCATCAACCAAGTGTTAAAAACTGAAATCAGGAACGGAGAGTAGTTGGGTAATAAACTCTTAGATAGTGGAAATCATGAGAAAGATAGGGAGTTTGACAAAGTGAAAATTGTCGGTAGATGTGAAATGCGATGTCTGAGTATCCACTTGATAGATGCAAAGAAGGAGAAGAAAGAAACAAGGGTCAGAAAGAAGGTGATAATAGTGAGGTAAAGAACTATCATAAAATCAAAATATTTTGAGTTTGATCATGGTAAGGTAAGAGACTGAGCATACTTCCTCTGGATGCAGAGACCAGCCTTGAATTAGTGAACTGTCAGTGCTTGTGCTGTTTACAACTGTCCAAAGCGTGCGTCTTGTAAACTATTCCCTCCGACTCTGTAAGTGAAACTGAAGGATGACTCTGTTGAAGAATTCAACTGTTAATTGATTTACATTCTCCCCTTAACGACCATAAAGGATAGTGATCAGAGATGCGTTTATAAAGGGCTCCTTTTGTACAGCTGCATTATCTCAACGTCAGCCAAACTCAGTTCCATACGTATTTAAACGTTAGTGCTAAAATAGCAACAACTTCCATACAATTGAAAGAAAGTATGGATTAAAACATTTGAATGTCACCATGTTTCTACTAAAAGGGATTCGAAGCATCTTGTGAATACATTATCAGTTAAGAATGTTAGCCACCATATAGTTCTGGTATGGAAGTGATATAACCAGGTGGATGCATTGTAACACCTAATAAATAAACACATCAATACATTTGCGAAATCATTAAACATTCCCATTACAACTGGAAAGCCATCTGACTGAATGGATAATACTCTTGTTCTTCAGGTCCAGCAGTCATACGTACATATTGAGAAATTACGCATCAGTAATATGGAGATTCCCTTTATCAGTTTGCTAACAATTGAGAAAAGTCGCATGTGAACGTTAATGATAGGATAAGTTGTTACTGGAATTGACATCAGCGAAATCGTTGATCACCTAAACGATTATACACAAGGTATAAATGATGTTATAAAGTGATAGTTTAATGAAGGAATAGGAAGGTGTTTCTGAGAGTTGGATGGAATATATTGAGAAGGATCATTCGAGGAGTACCAGTTCGATGGAATGTTTCTCGCGTTAGGGTAGATAACACACTAATGGAACGTGATGGAATTGCTTCCGGTTATTGGGATGAGGGGATATCTACAATTGCAATGCAACAACCTCATGCAGAAATGAAGAAAATTATTTGATGTCTATCCTGAAGAAGAATGAATACCCGCAAAACTTTATCAGAAGATGCCCATCCAGTACATCACCAACTACAAAATCATCGACAGAAATCAACAAACGCATCATCCTACCGTACATAAAGGATATACTAGAAATCGCGACAAGACTACTGAGACCGCTTGGAATCGGTGTGGCTACTCATCAACCAGCAAATTCCCTCCAAACACTATTATGCAGACCAAAGGATGCAACAGCCAAAGAAGACAAACCGAATATCGTTTACAAAATCAACTGGAATAACTGTAGTCGACACTACATTGGACAAAGTGGTCGCCCTCTTCACCGTCGTATACATGGACACCAATTGGCTATTCAACGTCACAACATTCCATCACTCATTTCAATGGACGTGAAATCAATCTTGACAATGTAAAAATCTTGGATGGAGAGAGGAAACACAAAGAATATCAGAGAATTCCTAGAAGTCTGGCATTCATGTCAGTCAGTCAGCAATCAGTAAATGTGTAGACACGGACCCAATCTGTCAATCAATGAGGAAAATGATAAACAGAAAAGTCAGAGGTCAAGTAGAGGAACAGCCAACAGAAAAATCTATTCAATCAATGACACAACAATCAAAGGAAACAACGAATCATAGCCCACTTCTTCAGGGCAAGCTTCTGAAGCATTCACGGAGAGATATTGACGGGTCACTTCATATTGAAGTTAGTATTGATGTCATCCAGCAAGACGATGAAAGCTCCACGACTAAACAACCCAGTTCAGAGAACACAATACAGTCAAGACCATCCACCTAAGCTACACATATTCTCCTCCAAGACACAACACTGGGGTGCACGATATTTTGGTGTTAGATGGCAGGAATAACATTATAAAAAACTTTGATTGGTGCGAAGCACTAACGGCTAAATAGCTATATGAGTTACTCACCAGTGACCAACCCCTTAACATAATTCAGTTTTGCACGGGGCCTCTGATTTCATCACTGAGCGATCCAGGGTTGAACCACCGAGAGAACTCTAGTGTTGCCATGTTTGCGGATGCACTCCTCTCATGAGTACCAACAAGCAAAAAACATGGAGTGAGGGCAACCTGCAGACAGACCAAGACTAAGACTATCGCCACGAGGTCGCAAAACGTCAGAAAATTATTTTTCTACTTCATTGGGATTTTACAAATATATTTCCCAATGCTCCCAATATACAACTTATCCCATTGTATCAGATCAAAATTTGATCCTGAAGTGCATAAAACTTACTAATAACTCTCTTTTCATTTTTTTTATTGATCAATACAGAGAAATACAAAACAACACTCGTGTGTACAGAAAATGAATGGACTAATATTCATTCAAATTATACTCCAACCAACCAATCTGAATATTTCTCGATCAAGGACAACTTGTTTTATCCCTATCATATTGAAAGTCAATATAATACAAGAAATTCACAATTTTTTGAATCTTTACAACAGAACAAAATGATTTCAATAGATGATAAAGAATTACATAATAAACAAAATATTTGTGTAAATCCCAATTATTCTTTTCAATACTCATCATCATTATCTCAACAAAATAACTTATTATCTTATGATTCAATGTAAAATAATGAAAAAACAACAAAATGACATACACCCACACACGGAGGGATTACATCATAACCTCGAACTTGTGTGTGGCAATGGCCATAAGCAAACGAGTGCACATGGAAATATTAAAACATATTTCTTTTTTGTCGAAGAAGTTTATGCACAGAGAAATAATGTTGCGTTTTGCTTTATTTCGCCTTTGAAGAGTTTCAGAATCCTTAAGAAAATCACTGTTTACAAAAGTAGTGCTTGCATGTACATCATCTTCGACTTGGGGTGATAGATATAGCGAACTGCATTAATTATACTCGTTGATGATTGAAGGTGAAATGGAAATTCGGTCCGCTCAGTTGGTCGGAAAAGTGGTGGTCGCTGGTTCAAATCCCGCCGCGTCGCAGATTTTCATTCCACCTTCAGTTATCTCCTAGCATAAGTGTTAGTCTTCCAAACCAAGGCTATTAGCGATAGTCAAGATGATAATCAGTATGATGCTCCCCGTTTCTAATTTAGTTAGATCTGGATTGGGATGAGAAGTCCTGACTGAGGGTAGCCAGTGTGAGTACGATCAAGCAGCAGTAACCAGTCACGAATGCACATGGTAGTCAGGCAAAACCTTTGGTGATTGAAGTGAAAATCAGGCCAGCAGTTGGACATCGTAGCTCAGTTGGTAGAGCACCGGGCCGGAAACTCAGTTGTCGCTCGTTCGAATCTCACCGCTGCCCAAATTTTCATTTCACCTTCAATCATCCCCCAGTATCACTACAAGCCTGACAAACCACGGCTATCTCAGTTATAAAAATGATGAACTGCATTATCTTTAGATGTGATAAGCAACTTCAAAAAATGTACTGGAGTGATATGATTATAGGGAATTCGTCACTTGCCGACTGCAGAATCACTGAAAGCCTGGAGGCAGTGAACACCTGTTTCAGCCTAGTTTGGTACCTCTTAGCTTTAGGTATTTAGTGTTCCCATATTTCAGTGACTCATTAGTTCGTACTGCTCATCAATGATAAGCACCCTATAACTTAATAACACCATTGCCCCGTAGTATTAATTAAGAGAAAGATGCAGGTGTAGGGTTTTGTGTGAAAAAGTCAAGCATTTGACGAGGTTGTACACCATTGACTCGAATGGTTATGACACATCTTTGCAAGCCTAGTCCTGATTTACTATGTCTCTCAGTGTTAGCTGAAGTAGATTTAGACTGGAAAAGTGTTTGAAGGTAGTCAGACTAAAACATGGCATCAATCCATGAGGTCAAAAAAAACCTACTCAGCAACCTTGTACACATTCGTTCAGTAGACAGTGAGCCACACCTATTGTGTGAGGACTGGTGATACTACTACCTGACTGCCAAAACCTAGGTATATGGAGCTGGGTTTGAACCCTTGATTTGGGTGTCGAAAGTCACCCCATCTTAACCAATGAGCCATAGCTCCATCAATCCATGAGGGATTTGACTATTGATATGAATACTGAAGGTGGAGCCCACGCGACAACTGAGGTCAATTGTTGGTGACTTCAGATGTTATGGTGTTGATGCATCTGCACAGTATTGTCATATTAGTGGTATTATCAGAAATTTTGGTACTATTTAAGGCTAGAATATCACCTGAATAACACTTCAGCTACTTATATGTATACACAATCCGGTAATAGGAAAGTTCACTGAAGTTCCAGATAGTTAAGATATGATTCCCTAAAATTGTGACGAATGTTTGTAGCTCAGAATGTCGATGTTTAGAGTGAGTTGGATTTGCGATCGGTAAATGTTTCAATGTCATACTATATACAAGCGTATCAGACACAAAAAATTGAAGCGATGGGTTGTCGGTGAAATTCTCATCACTTGCTAGTTTTCCTGAATACAACCTGATTAGTCGCTTGGTGTGTTTGCATATGCTGGACCTGATTGGTTGGTCATCCACCTCATGTTTTCTCAAACGAGTGTGCAGCTATGAGATTGGTTGACTTCTGTTTTCTCGTACCACACTGAGGCTACTACGATCTGACTGGTCTGCATTTTTATTTGACTCAAGAGGCGGAGATCGTCTTTATCTGATTGGTCGACTAGTACATATTAGAACAAGAGATATTTTGTGTCAATTAGCAGACCTACTCTAACTGAAAGGGTGTTGTTTGCTACTACTGATCGGTTAGATGTTACATTGGTTGGCTAGGTACAGGAGTACGGTCGGTTATACTTGAGTTATCTTAACCTAATTTATTAAAGACCTTCATTCTGGATGCATCGGTTTCTTTGTATTTGGATCGGTTGGTTCCTGTAGTTGACTTGTTTGGAACGCATATTGTGTCTAGGTTGATGTGGTGATTTATTACCAAATTGTCTTAGTACCAGGCCTCTAGGAATTCTCAGCACGTTTTTCAGTCTACATGTCTAAATACTGTTAAGTTTTCCCAGTATATTGAGACGAGAAACTTCGTCTTATGTTTGACGGCTAGTTTATTCCTATGCAGGTTTAGTAATGTTGATCTACCTAACCGCCGTGTATAGTGGCATTCGTGAACGACTTTGTGGATACTGTTGGTCATTTCTTTTTTTTGTTGACTGAATCTTTTGGTTTGGATATGTTATGGCTATTTTGTTGGTCTATACGATTCTAAGAGATCCCTGGATTATGACTCTGAACAATATAAATTAAGATCTTAGACGATGAGTGGTTACGTAACTGCTTGTAATTCCCCGTTGCTAATTGGGCCGAATTGACCAGTCCATATACCTAGGTATTGTCTGTAATTTCAGCTGAAATAGTGATGATGGAGAGTAGCTAGCAGTGGAATCCACAACGTTCGTTTCTTCCTGTTTGAGACTAGTCAGCTGTATGTACCTACCTCGAACCCGTCATAGACCACTGAGTAGTACGATAGTCACTCCTTGGGTGGTTGGCCCTAGGTTCGAGCCCCAAGTGGAACATATCATCACCCACTGGGTGGTAGGTAGATCCATCTGACGAGTTCCAAACGGGATGTAATGGATTCCATTGCTAGCCACTATCCATTGTTGCGGTCAAATGTTCTCCGTATCTTCACGCACCTCTGGAAATATATGAGTAATGAATAGTCAGTTGTCTGTGAGGAGCTTTTTTAGAAACAGTCAATTCTAACGAACCACCAACTATAGAATGCTCATTATTCACTTGTTTTGAGATGAATCTCCCTGAGTTGAACTGAGAACTTTTGGGGTCATCGAATTCTAGTATCACAATAAATGCTCATCGATGATATTATACTCTGGTTACGCTATACTGCGAGCCAAATGGAGTAGGAAAATGTGTGGTATTAATTTCCAACTCAATAGCTGAATGATCTAACAGTGCGATCCTTTGACAAAGGTCACGTAGGCGCATTGCTGATGATTCCAAAACTTGAATGAAACAGCTTCCTAGCAGTCCTTTACTTTCAGTATGGTTTTCTAACCAATGTTGTTTCACCATAAAAACTACTTTGAAAGTAATTAATTCCCACAAATTACCAATCGAAATAACACGTATTACAAAGATAAGGACCGAATATTTTCAAAACATTATTATAATCCAAGAAGAATATACACCAGTTGAACCACTGAATAATAGTATCTTATACAGTCTTCAGCTTCGACGACTTTGCATCGAAGTTGCTGAAATTTGATCACTGAATCCAGTAGCTAAATAACATGATGTAATGAATTCATCTTTGAATGGTTGGGAACAATTGACAGGAAACTGTCCATATGTTCCGATTTCAACACAGTAGTTGTGTTATCCACATATCACCACCATACTTTTGGTGCAGGATTAAACGTTTGTAAAGCCATGTTTTCCCAACTATCTATAAACATATCCCCACGATTGGGGATATTAGCGATCCCATTGCTACTCCTTCTCTTTGTCTGTATATTTTGTCCTGAAACTTGAAGACTCTGGAGGTCAGGCACAACTGTGCGCCCAATAACCGATATCTTAGTCCTCTTATTCAGTTCTCAGTCAATATTTAGTTGACTTCTGACTACCTCCAGTGCCGTATTCATTGGTATTTCAGTACAAAGACTTGTTACATCGAAGCTAACCATTTTTTCATCCTCTTCTATATGTAGGTCATTAAGCTTTAGTTTTAACTCGTAAGAGTTTGCCAGTCTGGAATTTAAACAGTTCCTAATAGGACATAATATCGAAGCTAAGTACTTTGCCAGTTCATATGTTGGAGTATTTCTTATGGGATAACCTGGTTCATGAACCTTAATATTGCTATAAATTCTGCTAGGAGTATTAGTTTTAGGCATTAAATGAAACCATTCAGTCACCTAGAGATGACTTTAGTCGTCGTATCATATCGTACATCCAGTGCCCCCGAGTTTCCTTTGTTCCTCCAACTGATTTCAGTCTACGATGAATAACAACTTGAAATATTTCCAAATCTCCACAACTTCCTCAAAATTTAAATACTATGTTAATCATTTCGTAGATTATTCAGAGCTGATTTTTCAAGTTTTGTTAAGTTTCGCTGTCTCTTCTTTTGTCTTTTCAGTGTTAACCCACATTGCACTCTGATCTGTTCAGCAGTTGCTGTATCCACCGAGCTTAACGCTTCTTCAATGCTACTTATGACATCTGATTCCAGATGATCTATTGTCATCTTGAAGTTTAGTCCTTTTCCAAGTACTTCCGTCTCAGCTGAGCTTAAGGTTCTCGAGGAGAGACTGACTACCCATGAATGATGAATACCAAATTGAAACAACTGTCTAAGTTTCGTCCACAGATGTAGAGCACAGGTTATCAAGAAACTAGACGAAGATTTGAACTCCGGCTTCACCAGTGAGCTGTTAGACGAGAATAAGTCAGTAGGCATGCAAAGGATTATGACAGAGGACAGTGAGTGTTTTAGTCCTCACATACTTGTATAGTAATTCGTCTTGTCATGGACGCTTATAATCCCTCTTGGTGGATTCGGTTTCCTTTCTTTTAGAGAGCATAGAAGAGTTAGTGTGAATAACCTTATCTTTCAAGCAAATAAACCGTTAACAGCGAATTTTGTCAAATAGAACAGATCTATTTTATGACAACTGGAACTATCATATCTACACTCCACCACATCCAAAATCACTAGTAAACATTATTTTGACTGTGAGGCAGCATTCTATTGCTGTCTTCGAAGGATATGACAAACCAAGGGTGCTTCATCTCTAGAATGGGACCATTGTTGTATCCACCTTCATAGAGCTTGCCTAATGCGTGGTAATCATCAGGATATAAGTGTCTAAAGTATTAGATGTCAACATTTTTCGAAAGCTTTGCAAGACATAAAAACTTATCTGTAAAAAGTAGGCCGTGTTTTCTATAGGCTGTAGATGAACTGGTCACGTTTCCACCGTGTCAGATTCTCGAACAATATCACCTGTTGCAAACTAAAAATCATTGTATTTTTTGATATTAAAGCTGCCTTTGATTAGTTGGACAAAGATGTGCTCTGAAATTATCTATCGGAGATGGGTATCTCTGATAAGCAAGTTAACATCTTTAAAAAACCTAAACTGGGACGCCTCTAGTGATGTGATGAGCATATAGACACCTCTCCACTGTACCAAACCGATAATGGAGTTAGGCTATACCATCGACGAAATTGTTCAGACAGTTCCGAAGGAAATGCGTGGTAGTGGTGATATAGATCTGTTACCAGATAAAAGACCTTCGACCCTGAGTATGTGTTCGATATTGTTTTGCCTTGTAACAGGCTAGCCAAGTTGCACTCAAGCGGTTAGCGATCAGTGTCTATAAATATAATACGTACTTCGAAACAAAGAAGTGTGAAATGACTTAACAAGATTAGCAGAAGCATGTAACTACACCCACCCTTGGCCTCCAACCACTGGAAGTTGTCAAATGGTTTGTGCACCTGCGTAGATGTATGAGTGCTACCTAAGGTGTGATTAATAAGATTCCCGACTGCCTATCAAAAGGCAAAGTGACATACGCCAATCTAAGCCACCTTCGACGCCGCTGTGACGCTCACCTTGCTTTAAACGGCCACATATATAAAGGGTCAGGGCGGGAAGCTCTACTCGACACATGTGAAACCTCGCCTCTCGAAGCTGGGGACGTCCGACGACTTTATGTTCTCGACCACTACTGACTCCGTAGGATCCCTAACATCCGTTGGGAACATCGTGTAAGTAATTCTAAAGTGAGACAGTATTTGAACGTAATGGAAATCAGAATTCATTCGGCGTGGTTAACTTGCAACAGCAGCTTCAGTGACTTGGATACGAACTACATATGTCGTTCCACCGGCTTCTACATCATTCATTCCTCTAGGACTACTTGGAAGAAGCGGACAGGTGCTGTAGGATGCAGAATAGTAGTGTTTGGTAAGGATCCATTGATGACTAACGAATTTGGGGATGAAACCCAGGAGATTGTGCAACGCACTGGATTAAGACGAATAGAAACCAGTCGCGATGATACTACTGATAAGAGCGACAAGCGTAGTCAATGCTTTCGTGAATATACCTTTGAAACTGACTCTTGATTATTTATTTAAAACAAGTCTATTTTTTAAATAAGTAAGTAATAACAAACTCTAACTAATACATCATGGAGTTATTTGTACTCGAACTCATACAGTTATGCGACAATGCATGATGTAAGCAAATGAAAATAACCAGTTTGCCACTTATTTCCAATACGCACTCCATTGATACTACTGCCGCTTGACTCCTATGACACTAATGTACTATTCTGAGGTATCAAGTAAGGTTACTGTCGACTGACCGGCTACTAAAATCAAAATCATACACTGATTTGCCTTCAAATAAGATTCACAATCATCTTCAGCAAAAGATACTGACAGAATCTCCTTGCAAAATTGGATAGAAAATCCTAAAAAGCCTTGTTTCCTTTCACAATTTATACAAATAATAAAAGTGAAATAATGCTCACAAAGATTAGTATCCACTGGCACCAAGTTCAACAGTAAGGGGATGAAGTAGTTGAGGGGAAGGGTGGATTGTGAACATTTAACCTAGAAGTGAGAAAGCAGGGATAGCAACTCCTGATGCCAACAGACATTTTCAGAACATATAAATTCCATTAAATCCACTAATGAAATAGAATCTAAGGACGGCACTCTAAAATTGTTAGATTGTCTTATTCAAAGAACAACTGAAGGTAAATTCAGTATGAAATTATACGGAAAATTAACAAATTCCGATAAATATTTCGACTTCCAGTCGTATTATCCAACTAACATAAAGGCTAGTGTGGGCATTGAACCTACTAAACAGAGTGGAAACCACATCGTAACCAATCCATATGATTTGGAAAATGAAATCTCCTGAATAAAACATGTTTTAATGGAAAATGGACACCCTAAGAAATTCTTGAACAACATAACCGGTCAGACAAAAAAAACAGCAAGTACTACTACTACTAGTAATAAAGGTACAGCAAAATCATGGGCGTCATCTATGACGGTAACATATCAGAAAGGTACTTCTGAACAGAATAAAAGAGTATGCTCCTTACAGGGTATAAAAGTTCCTTGTAAACCTTTAAATTAACTAGAAAAGATCATAGTCAAAGTGAAAGATACAATTTCTAAGATGACGCAGAACATATATGTCTACAAAATTAAATGTTTGGAATATGAAGTTTATTATATTAGAGAAAGTTGTAAACCCCTAAAGGTTAGGGTGAATGAACACAAGTTATGTACGAAATATCCACCGAGGAATCAAGATGAATTAAAAAATTTAGAAAAGCAATCAACAATTGAAAGTGGACATATGGATTAACTTTGAGAATGTAGTCATATTGAGAAAAGGTTTCAATTCGCATAAAGATTAACTTCCGAGGCTTTGTATATTTTAACAACACTAAATGTTATTAAGGGAAAAGAAGGAAAAAATGTGTCACTTAGTTGGCAAACACTAATCAGACAAAACCATGACCTTTTAGAATTGAAGGTACAATAACAATTATTGACAGCTTGTAAATAATAGTACAATAAACAATATATATTCTACAATAAACACACTTTGAAGACAGCGTGCTTGAAGCTTAGGCTAACAAAATTATGAGTGACTTTAAAAGTCACCGTAGCAACAACTGAAACAACAAAACTTCTGTATTTTATGGAAATATGCCTTGCTATCCGAATTGGTCACTTCGATCGTTGCTAGGGTGGTCTTTAAACTCAGCCCAACTTTGGGGCCACCCTAGCAACTGCTAAAATGGTCAGTCAGACTTCGGTATTTCGCCTGGAAGAGACCTTTTCCATAAAATAAAGGAATGTAATTGGATGTCACGTTAGTTTCTACGACGGCCTTTAAAGTCATTCAAAACTATCCAGTGAATAGTTTTCATCAAATTCTTTCTTTTCATCTAACCAAACTGCGTTGATATTCGACTGGGCAATAGCTATGGTAATTAAGATACTGCCCTGTCCATGTAGGTTTCCTATAGATCGACCTCCTTGATGGTATCATGTACTCTTTGACATTTTTAAACTGTTTCCAACTCTACGTTTCACGAGTCAATAACAAAGCAGAGGCGGAAATATTATCTTATATGGAAGTGAACTTTTCTGTACAAAAAAGTACATCATATTTCTATCCATTAGATGATTAGCTTGAGTTACATATTTTTGTGCCGTTTGAGTGAACCGCCACCAAAATTATACTTGCATTTCTGTTGATTCTTCATTATTGATAGGATGCCCATCCAGAACCAGCTAGCTATTTCATATTATTACCTTGAATACTGTTGTTATTAACATTATTCCGATGCAATAACCATTTTGTCTGAAAGTATTGTTCTGGGAGTGAATTTGTCGAAAAAATTGCATGCTGAGAATTCCATACTGTCATATATATTGTTTAGAATAAAGGGATTATTATTATTACTATCATTATACTCGTTGGTAAATGACAATAACAAGCATAACTTGTAATGACTGATCTTAATTACAGAACAGAAAAATTACCCGGTCAATGACCTACGTTCACTAAATATTTGATGCATCATTTGGGAGTAGATATCTTGATGCCAATAAAAATCAGTATATTCTGTTGAAGATGCTGCAGTTTACACAGCGATACGTTCATAAATATCTTGTTTTGATTTCCTAAACACGCTTGGAGTATATTAAAATAGATTCTGATAATGATATTTTTTAATTGTCGCTTTTTTCGCCATTTTGATTCCTATTTTTTGTCCTTTATCAGAGTGTGAAAACTTGCATCCGAGTGAAAAGCTTATTAGGAAGTGGCCAAAATGGAAATTGTTCAGGGTCATTCGCTGTTGGGGTAGGAATGTTTTCGTTCCAGATCTTGGTTTATATCCATCTGACTGGTGATCTAATGGCTTCATCTTCTGAGCAGCAGCTGTATATAAATACTGTTTTTAGGCAAATAAAAACGTCTTTCTTCAGTCAGTTCACAGACTCGTCTTTTGTCTTCTGATTATCGCAGCCCAGTGAAGTATAGGGTGTGGGGGAGAACAGTTGTATTACTCGTATACAGTTCAAGTATCTCGTTGTGTTATTACTTGTTTCGCTTATTATTAGAAGCTCCGTCCTACCCCGACATAGTCACATCAAAGTGCTACACTGTTCAACGTCAGTCAATATTAAAAGCTACATTTATCAGTGAATTGGTCATTTTTGTTACTTGATGAGGTACATATCAACTTGCATTATTACGCAGTAATGCCTGATCCTGTGTTGATATTAATGGACGAAGTGATCAGGTTTAACAAACATGCTAATTTAATAAAACAGCTAAAATATTTTCTCGAATAACACAACTTTCGAAATCACGACACAGGAAGAAATAAGGCCTGATTTTCGATAAGAAAAAACACTATTTCCTGAGGAAAGAATGACAAAATAAGGTTCGAGGCCTGAGTGCTGCCCAGATTTTTATTTCACTTCAATCACCATCCAGTATAAATAACACTAGTCTGGCAAACCACGGCTATCTCAGATAGTCAAAATAATAATCAATATGATCCACCCTTCTCTCTCTAATTCAGTTAGATTTGGATTAAGATGAGAAGTCCCAACTAGGCAGCCAATAAGAGTACGATTAAGCGATAGTAACGCATAACGAATTTGCATGGTAGTCGAGCGAAACCCTTGGTATTTGAAGTAAAATAAAAATCTGCTCAGTAGTTAAACCTTGTAGCTCAGTTGGTAGAGCACCAGGCTCAAATTTTCATTTCACCATCAATCATCACCCAGTGTCAAAATGAAGTAAGAAAAAGTACGCATCAGATAAATATTTTGTTCACAAAAATGCTAAAAACATAAGATATTTTTCAATGAAATATTAATAAGAAAAACTGAAGGAAAATTCCAAAATTTATACAGCTTAAAATATTGACTTCATCATTATAATTTGACAAGAACAGAATACTTGCATACTATTGACTTTTTATTTGTACATTTCTTTACGCAATCGACTAGCTGTCAGAGCTGAACCGCCTAAGATTTCACGTTGAACTTTTCTACGATTACGCCACAGGGGTAAATTTTCACGAGTCTGATAATCGAAATCAAATATACTGGGTTCCATTTGACATATACGATGGTAAACAAAGCATAAGTCACGAAACTCTGACAGTGTTAACTGGAAAATTTCAAAGAAAAAGAAAACAGTATGGAAATATCCAATACATAATTATTATATCATAGGTCAATAGCATAAATAACAGAATAACAAGTAAACTGGATTTAGAAACGACAGATTTACAACCGAACATTGAGTCCCTTTACATTATAAAAAGCCATATCTCCAACCTTGAAATAATCATCATCATCATCAATCAATATCATCATATGACCGGGCATTACTGCGTAAAAGTTCAAGTTGTCAGCAACACACATCAAGCGGCAAAGCAATAAGATGAAAGATGAAGAAAGAAAAATAGATCAAAAACAGTAGAAGAGAGGAAGGAGGAATGAGAAAATGCTGAACTCAGACATCACGTGGACCCCGACCGACTAGTCGACATCTCTCTATATGGCCAACAGTTTGGGACTTCATGCAATAGTGTCATGTCTGAGTCTAGCCGCCTTGAGCCTTTTTTCAGTCTGAACACTTGGATCAGCTAACATTGTGCGACAAGACAGAGAGTGACTAGGCATGTATAACACATGTTCCAGACATCCCAGTCGATGAAGGTTCATAACCGTATCGAATAACTTACCTCTCCCCCCCCCCTAAAGATATACGTTTGACTTCTGCGTTACTCACTTGGTGACACCACGACACATGGTCTATGTTACGAAGGCAATGGTGGTCAAACACCTGGAGCCTTCTCATATCCTTTACCTTGAATGGTCATGTTTCACAGCCATATAGTAGGACAGAGCGAACTGCAGTACCATACACTCGACTCTTAATAGGCGATCGAATATCGCGGTGGTGCCATAGTTCAGTCAATACTAATGACCTTGTTGATACTTAGATTTAACATACTTCGTATAAAACACTTAAGAAGTTTTACCTGATTACCTACTTCTTCCTGTAAGAAATTATTGCTAAGATGATTTTTCCATTCGCAAATTAATCTCGTTATGCACATGAACTGTCGCCTAACATATATGCCAAAAATACACTTAGCAACTTTAAACACATTCGTGCAGCAAGCAATGAGCAACACTTAATATGTGAAGGCTAATAATACTGTTAACTTACTGCCCAAACCTCGGTAGATGTAGCGGGGGTTGAACCCGTGACCGATAGGTTGAAAATCAATTCCCTAAAACCAATGAGCCACAGCTCTACAAACTAACATCTGTTGCACTCATATGAATTCCCATCGAGACCAAAGTGTAGGATAAACAGAAACATTTACAAGAATACGGAAACTTCTAAACTGATGAGTTCAAAAGATGACTACGATTACATATGGGATTTATACTGTTAACCATTATCCCAGAATACTAAAATAATTTATGCCTGATTCATATTTCCACCTACTTTAAGTTAATTCTGAAAACAAATACCATGGTTATCTCTATTTTTAGTTGTAGTGCATATGCTAGCTAACAGTGGAATCCAGGATGCGCGTTTCGTCGTGTCCGGGACTCATCAGCTGGATATACCTGCACCTCAGTGAACGATGTTGTTCTTACTGAGACTCTAACCTGAGTTCACAGAACAGCATCACTGATCTCCTGAAACGACGTTCCAAACTATACACTGCAGCTTCCAATATCAAATCGGACAAACAAGCTTCACCAGTCAAAACTCTAGCATCACCGACTACGCATATGTGCTGTCTGTAACATATGTATACAACACCCAAGATACGGTTACTAACTTAACCTCACCGGGCCAATATGGTGGGTCCGGAAAGTTCACCCTTCGAGTTTCTGGAGATTTGATGACCAGTTCTCATAGCCTTTTAGATATAGCAAAGCAAAAAGTACACTCCTCCACTTTTTTATCTTTCATCTTAGTGATTTCTTGACACGAGGCGTGGCAACATAGACCAATGTGCAGTGATGCCTGGTCTTATGTTCATCTTGTCTGTCTTTCGATGAAATGACTCCTACCCATGATGGTCTTAAATTTTGGTCTATAACGTGCAAGAAAGTATATGCTCCCCAGTTGGAAAACGTGTGAAATCCGAGTTTGTAGTGTGCACCAACTTTACAAGATATAACTCAAAATCAAAATCTTGTCATTTTATTTATGTTGTGAATAGCTTTACTCCTTTTTGTAGGCCACCTGGTCACCATAATTTACTAGTTACAACTGAAATAGGAGTTTGAACTTCTGGATGGCTAGTGCTTCAGCTATACACAAATCCCTTGATCTGACTCCCCTCGAATGGTTTCATGGAACCCTGTAGAGGATTTTGAAAGAACTCTCAAAAGGAGTTAAGTGACCTGAGTTTACGAGGTGTTCTTTTATTGAAGTGAAGATACATTTCCGTTCTCCCTTTGCTAGGCAAGCGCGGTAGTGTTCGTGGGCACTTTTTACAAGCAGACGCATGGTACGGTGAATGTACTCAGCTCCACAAGAGCAAGCAAACTGGTATACACCACACACTGATGTGGCCCAATGCATCAACTTGTCATTCACACATTGACCAAACATTTTCTTGCAGGAGAAAATAATTCGAAGGTTGGAGGCGAATTACGTTCTATTTAAGGATTTTGACAGTCGTTTCTTGAGGATGTATGCAGCAACAAAATTTTTGAATTCAAGATTCGACAAAGGAATCTTTTTCGGTGCCGAGTGTGTTCGCTCAGTTGGGTTGTTTGGTTCGATGTTCTTATCTATGAATCTGAGCAGGAAACCGTTTTCGGATTGAGGTAATCTAAGATTTTGCAGTTCTCCGACAACAGTGTCCTCATTACATATTTTCCTGATCCTCGAGGATAGTGAATGAATAAGATTTCTCTTCCTACATAGAGTGACTGAACTTTAAAAATTAATAAACTATCCGTTTCACGTAGGTTTTCTGTAGATCGATCTACGAAGTAAGTTATCGTCTTTTCTTAGGAGCTGAAAATCAAGAAAATGGAATGTTGAGTTTGAATCTCATTCTAGAGTGAATTTGGCTCAAGGGTAGGCGTTGTGGAAAGTATGAATCAGGTTTGTAAAATTCATATTTTCATCGCAAACTATAAAGGTATCATCAATGTATCTTTTGTAAACATGAAGTTCATTGATTGTTGATGATAAGTTGGTGTTTCCCAAGTTTGGCATGAAGCAGTCAGCTAGGAGAGGCTCTAATGGAGAACCTATTGGCGCACCATCTATCTGCCTTTAGATCTCGTTATTAAATCTGAAGTGTACATTGAAGGTACATCGGAGGAAAAGCTCTTTTAATTAGTGGATTGGAATGCCAACATCTATGTTATGATACTGAATGAATTCACATAGGAAGCAGATATTTTGTGACAATGGGACATTTGTGAAGACGGACACGACATCCAATGAAATAGTTCTTTTACCTGTCAAACTGACATTCTTTATTGAAGCAACAAAATCAAATGTATCACGGAGACTGTGGTTCAATAGCTTCTTCTTTACAGGTTCCAGTATTTCCACAAGCCATTTTGCAATTAAATGATATGAAGAATTTATCATATCCATTATTGGATGGAGTGGAATGCCTTCTTTGTGTATTTTCGGGAAAACCGTATAAACCGGAGATCGTAGAAACCAATGGGTGAAGTTGTTCATATAGTTATTTGTTAATGAATGATTCATTTCTCACTTACTTCAGTATTTTGGAAAATTCCAGCTCAGTAGGATCTTTCCGCATTATCTGTTTTAAAAAATTATTTTCATCGGATAGAATGAGTGAAATTTTTTTTTAAATAGTCTGATTTGTTTAGTAGTACTAATCCAGAAGTTTTGTTCAGGCGTATCATGACCAGATTTTCATTTTTCTTCAGTTTATTCAATTAATTTCAATGTTCTCTTGACAAAAGAGGTCGATAGCTGGATCTTCTGTTTATATAGTCAAGATAAAAATTTAAAGCTGTTGATTTGAAATTATTAGCATCATCATATGAAACTGGAACTAGATCCTTGGTCCGATTAATTGGATTTTCGAAATGGACTTTCATATGCAGATCGTCGACTTTTGAAGTCACATTACAGAATTTAGGTCCAAGTGACAAGATTTGCATATGAATTGGGGATAGTGATATATTTGAAAAGTTGAATACACACTTTTCAGGACACGAAGGAAAGGTGGTTTCTTTAGTCATAGGCTTTAAGCTTTTACATAGTTGCAGGTTGACATCATCAGTCCGCATCTTAGTAACAGTAACAACGTAGTTTTCAAATTATGCTCTCTCATTGGCAGAAAATTCGAAAAGAACGTGTGATTTTTATGACAGATTATGTTCGAGCTTCGGTAATCAGGAAAGGACAGCTTCACTGTGATTGAGAATGTATCGCTTCAAGGTACGCGAGTTAGGAAGAATGTGGTTCCGTCTGAGATTCTTTCAAAACACCTTAGGATACTCGTGTTTCTCTATCCATTTCTTCGAAAAGTAAATTTTTGCATTCAACTCAGTAAGTATGAGGAAAAACGCAGAAACCTGTCCAGTTCCTTTAACTTCACGTGGTCCTTGTTACTGTTTAAACCACGGAATACACCCATTTGAACATTGGGAAAGCCAAGACGTGGTTGCAGCGAAGAAAAAATCTTTTCGACGAAGTCATCTACTAAGCTGTACATTCCTGGATATATGCTACAGGGGCAGAATGTTCCAAATTTATTTCCTGTTAGGATCCGCCTGAAAAACGTGCCTGCGAACACTACCCAGCCTGGCTAGCCCAAAAGGAGAACGGAACACCTCGTGAACCCACTTAACTCCTTTTAAGAGATCATTCAAAATTATCTACAGGGTTTTATAAAATCACTCGAAGGGAGTCAGATCAAGGAATTTATCTATAGAGGAAATAGGAGTCAAAAGGAAACTATACAAAGAAAGGCAGATAAGTGCAAAACTTCGTATAATGCCGCACTACTCAACCAACCTGTATACTCTGTTTGACTGGTTGCACTCCAGCTTCTTTGAATAACTGAATAACTAATTCAGGTCGATTGGAAGGGAATAATGTTTCCAGACATCGGACAATTTGTTTTTGCCTATAAAAATAGAAAAGTCCCAGAAGAAAATGTGTTTCTTTTTAGAATAGAGATAAATCAAAATCTAAACACCTTATATGATGATAATTATGTGAAGGACTGACTCATTTATATAGGCCTAGAGAAAATGCAGTTTTTCAGGACATTTTCAGTGCTTCACTGGTTGATAAAAAGGTTGCCTGTAGGAAATTATATGTATTTATACTGAGGTGATAATTGGAGGTAAAATAAAAACTCGTTAAGTAGAGTGGGGCTCGAACCAGTGACCCATCGGTTGAAAATGATCTCTTTAGACCAATGAGCCACAGGTCACCTGTGGTTGATAGGTCAGTGATGAATAACACATTGAAACTAATCGATGCTCAAAAGCCTCCAAACTGAATCACCATCTATTGCTTATCAGTGACATGCTTCGAGATAAGTTCACCGGAGTTAGAATGAGAAGCCCTGACATGTGGGGTTAATCAAGTCACGTTATGATGACAAATATTCCCCGACGGCACTAGATGATGGTCACACTATATCACGAACTGACAGAAGTAGGAAAATATGGACTACTGGATTCCGAGCCAATGGCTGAAAGGCAACTTGCCTGCCCTGAGACCCAATGGTCCTAGGCTCGACCCCCGATGGAGTTCGAAGTGTATTCTGTTGAACAGTCTCATGCTAGGTCAAAACATCCCCCCGGTTTTCAACAGTTCTCCAACTAATGTTAGTCCATGATGAATACAAACATGATATATTACCTTTATCTATTCTGATAACGATTGGAAAAAAAAGGCCATCCACGCAACGAATTAAATGACCAATTATGTTTCTCTGTGCTGGCTAGATCTGTGTAAAAATAGGGAAGTTTGATTGGTTGTTTCAACTGTTGGTAAGGTGGCCTTTGAAGTCACTCGAAAAAAACGAATCTAGAGTGATGTGAACCATAAGTTGTTTCAATTTCAAATTGCGAATCGCTGTTAGAAATCTTTAATACTCCTTGTGCAACATTAGTGTGAGTTGATGTTGTCCCCACTGAGACTCGACACTCGTACCTATCGCTCCAAACGCCAAAGCGTTATCCACTCAACCACGGAGTCACGATAGCCACTTCCTGTATAACGAGTATTAGTTATTACTATTTATTTATATGCTTGTAATTCTCCGTTGTTTTATTGGGTCGAACCGTCAGACCTCTATTGGTATATAGGCTCCTATGCAGACGCCTCAGTGGTCTAGTGGATAACGTCTTGGTGTTTGAAGCAATGGGTGCGAGGTTGAAGTCTCAGCGGGAACAACATCACTCAGTGGGGTGCAGAAACATCCGACTAACGAGTCCCAAATAAAACAAAACGCGCGTCCTAGGTTCTGCTAGCCACAACCAAGTAAATTACCATAATAAATATTCAAGTAATATCGAGGCATCCGCATAGGAGTCTATATACCAATAGAGGTCGAACAATTCGATCCAGTAAAACAACGGAGAACCACAAGCATATCAACAAAGAAGTGTGAGTTGCTTAGTTTATTAATTTCAGCGTTAAGATTACAGTCATATGGGTAAAATTGAAGTACTATCCAACAATTTCGATAAGTTTAGTCACCTGATTTATCAATAACCTATAGAAGCATATCAACAATAACCATTATGAAGAGATCTGAATAAATTCAGAGGAAGAGAGAGAAGGTTCAAGTAATGTATATATTAAGAGAAAATAAACAATATATTATTACCTGAAACGAAATGTCTGACGGACTAACTTGTCAACATATGGATATGGTACAGGGATAAGTGGTTGTTGTAAAGGTGTTAAACGAACAACCCCAGCATCCACTTTTGGTGGCGGTAAGAAAGCAGTGCCTGGAATATCCTTCATATACTCAACCTAATATATTTTATAAATCAAAAGGAAACCATTTTTAATTTATGCATGGTAACGACTGAATAATAGAAATTAATTGATTTTTACTTTTGACAATGAATAGCTTCATCTTTTTTGTAGAAAGATTATTTGATAGACATAGAAAACATATATGAAATAGTACTGTTAGACGAAGTCAGTGATAGGGATCTAGAGTTCACTTCACTACTGCATGAGAAATCACTTAAAAACCCATGGAATATGCATGTCATACGTAAAAAATAGCCAAACATTTAACACTCCTCTGCATCGAAAGTTATTTTTCGGAAAGAGTGTAGGAATTACTGACCACTTCATTTATCTGCAAAGCTACATCAGCTAGTTGTCATCATCAACATCCAGCAACATAGAACCAGACACTACTGCCTAACTGTCCGACTTGCCACAGCTCACATCAGTACATCAAATAAGAAGGCAGTGAAGTGGAAGATGAAGAAAAGAAAATTCTGTCGAAAGAAATGTGAAGTACGAAAAGAGAGAAACGAAGAATTAAAAAATGATGGGATTCGGTAAAGAGTTAGGATGAGGATAATGTGTGTATACATCTGCGCCACTGACATCAGTTCTCAGCCATATCATCTAGAGTCTCCAACCACTGGCTCCTCTTATCCCCCCAAGACCCCAACCACCCAGTCTGCATCGCCCCACATGACTCAAACCAACAGTCAAACACTTCATACATTTATGCCATGTTTTAGTCTGGCCACTTCGGGCCTCTTTCCAATCTGAATCTACTTCGGCCAACATTGTGTGACGAGACAATCGGCGACTAGGCATACATAACACGTGTGTGTCCCAACCATCTCAATCGATGAAGGTTCACAACCTCATCAACTGACTTACCTCTTCTCCCTAAAACTCTACACCTGACTTCTGCGTTACTCACGTGGTGACACCACGGAATACGGCCAATACTAAGAAGGCGACGGTGGTCAAACACCTGCAGCCAGCCTTTCCATGTCTTCCACCTTCAATGGTCGTATTTCACAGTCATACAATAGAACAGAGCGGACTGCTGTGCAATACACGCGACCCTTAGTAGACAATCGGATACCACGGCGGCGCCACAGGTGGTGCAGGTTGGCGAAAGCCAGCCAAGCCTTTTGTATTCGTGCAGAAATTTCATCCTCCACTGAGCCACCAGGGCCAATCCTACTTCCCAGATAAGTGAAGTGGTCGACACAGCTAGTTGTCAGGGATTGGCTCCTGCTGACGAGACCTTTACATAGGGTTGGTTGGTGTTTGTTTATGCAAGCCAATTGTTGCATCAGCAAATCATCAGACTACGTACTAGGAATTAAATATATTACTAGCCCATTAGTCTTATCCTGCTATCCAACTGAGAAATAGTCCTTAACTGAAGAAGATAAACAAATATAGACAACAGATACCACTGTTTCTTTACTAGTGAGTAATGGGAGTCAACCAGTAAGCAGTGCTGCCGTAGATCATCATAGTTTAAGATAGAGAGTATAAACCATAAGTAGATGATAAACTTACTGACAACAGTGACCAGGAAATCTAATGAACAAACTAAGCCATATTCTACATCAAAGAAGTATATTAACTAGTATCGGCTTGCCAGAAAGCTAACAAAAGGTAGACCAAGACATAGTACCTACTCATGAAGTCTGTGACAGTAGATCCATAGATAAGTACAGAATTCGTAGACGAGGTTCTTGCAATGCTAGAAGTCAAAAGTTTAAGACTGCATGAAATACTTCTATAAAAACACTTTCTACCATGTACAAAATCAACACCTTTATTTACTTATTCTCTCTGCTATCTACTCCTTTTTGTTGACTGGAACATCACTATTTCTGTGCCCTTGTTAAGTGTGACAAATGGAACTGATGCATGTTTCTGAAAGGATCTATATACACATATGTATCTACTTGCATGCTTGTAAGATAAAGAGTTTGCGCTACTGATTCTTTGTACCAATTATTGGGCTGGTCATTTTATAAATTCCAATAAAGATGAAATGTACTCATCAGCCATATGCACATTTGTGCAGTAGGCAATGAGCCAGCCACAGGCATTGTGTGAGGACTACCAGGCTGCTCAGACCTGAGTAGGTTAAGGGGGACTCAAATCCGCGGCTTATTGTTTGAAAGTCATCTCCCTTAACCAATGAGCCACACCTCCAAGTTCCAGAAAAAATTAACTCATTTTCTGCAACCCTATGAATGCATTACAAAGCTTTGAGCTTATGTAGCAAATTTAAATGTAAGCGGCAACTGAAAAAGTGGGAACGATAGAGACTAGGTAGTTTACAGTACACTAGAAAAATCAGAAACTCAAACCATATCTTGTCTATAAATCAAGATTAAAGGGGAATTATCTTTACGTATACCGTAAACTCATGCTAGCAATATTCACTAAAAGGCTCTACTAATGGACATGTTATGTCATAAACACCGTTATAAACAAGTGTCAGCTGAAAAGTCAATGACTAACCATCATTTTCTGTAAGCATCTTCGAGTTTTCCTGAGACAGACGAAATCAATGTAGAATCTCGCACACAACTGCATCGGCTCAAGTTCCCACACTTCACAGTAGTATACAAAGAACAAGTGGATGGAAAAGGAATGATATCGAAGTACACAAAGTGTCAGAGAACAGGCGGTTAGCGCATATATTCAACACCTCTAAAAGAAGCCAAGAAGTGAATACATATGCACTAATTTGACTGATTCTCATCGATGTCACCAACAGTCCTCTTTAACCACTGATTACTACAGAATTGAGAACCCCAGTCACGTACCCTACATCTCCCAACACTACTCAAACCAATAGTCAAACTGGTGCCACGTCTAGCCGCACCTAGTCACAATGAACCCTTTTTCCAACCTGATCAACCAGCACGGTACGTCGAGGTAGGCAGTGGCTCGGTATGCGAAGCACATGTTTAAGTTACCTTAGTCCACTAAGGTTTACGATCTCATCAATCGACTTGCCTGTCCTGCCTAAAACCTTTAACCTGACCTCGACACTGGTCATATAGTGATTTCCACCAAACACAGCCAATGCAACGAAGACACCCGTAATCACAAACCTGTAACCGCTCCAGGTCTACTTTTAAAAGCCATGTCTCACAGCCAAATAACAGGAGAGAACGAACTAAAGCGCAATATACTGGTCCTTTCATAGATAAGTCGGATACCTCGCCAATCGGTGCCACAGGTGACGCAAATTGGCAAATACCACACCGCCTTCTGTATTCGAGCTGAGATTTTGTCACCAATCACCACACGTTCTCCTGAGATCGAACATTCAATTATCAAGTTCAACTGTGGTCATACATGTAATCGGAGTTTGTACCTAGTGGTGGTCAGTATTTTACAACTCCAGTTGATTCATGATATTGCTCTCCTCTAAAATCATTTTCAACCTCGCCTAGTTAACTAGTTCACTAGTTACTAGCCGGCCCTTAGCCCGGGGAAAAAGGGAAGGTTGGGCATAAGGCTAGCAACCCTACCCCGTAGAACCAATCCAATCGCTACAGAAACTTCAAAGCACAGACAAAATATAAAACATAAGAATAAACTTATTCCTCGCTGGAATCGGAGAGGTAAAATGACGCCGGTTGGTGAAAGCCTTCGGGAAGCCAATTGGCCGGTGTGTCTTTTCCCCCTCGATGAAAGTGAAAGTAAACATAGGGACGCGGAATGTCCACACTATGTTTGAACCTACCAAGGCTACTCAGATTGCCAAAGAGATGAGAAGGTATAGCATAGAGGTGATAGGAATTTGCGAAAGCAGGTGGAATGGAAGTGAACTCTCTAAACTGTCAACTGGAGAATCAATAATCTACTCCAATATTGTCACCCAAAGGACAACCATGAGCACACTGAGTTTCGGATTGGCTATCATGATGTCCCCTTGAAGAGCATCGAAGGCTCTCATACAGTGGTAACCAATCTGCTCATGCAGGATCATGACAGCAAGGAAAGTCACAATCGTACAATGCTACACTATGCACCTACAAAGAATGCAGATGAAGAGAAGAAGGAGGAATTCTACAGACAATTGCAAACAGTACTAGACAAGACTCGAGTTGGCGACATCAAATTTCTAATGGGTGGGGTGACATGAATGCCAAACTGAGAGCGGACAACACAGGAAGAGAACTCATCATGGGTCGAGAGGCACTCGGTGAAATGAGCGAGAATGTAGAACTGTATACAGACCTCTGAGCATTTAATGATTTAGTGATTAGAGGCAGTGTGTACAAATACAAGGATGTTCACAAGGCAGACACATGGATTTGATTTCACCAAACACCAGGACACACTTCAATAATAATCAGATCGACTTCATTTCAAGGTGAAGAAAGTGGAGACGCAGCCTACTGCACAAAAGATTAGATGAAGAAAGGGAGCAGAAGTAGGTTCAAACCACTGTATAGTACAAGGAACCTAGCTTCAAAATCAGGTTGAAAGCCTTCACCGAAGTTGGTGATAGACTACAGTTCAAGTTGAGCACCGAGAACAGAGACTGAACTGAAGGACGAAACTACAAGGAACATCTTCACGTCAGCCATCAAGGAAAATGTGCGACACTAAGCAACATCCGTAAAGGAACCCGTGTGGAAGAACACTGGGACACTTTGAAAGAGATGTGGAAAGAAACCTGCATAACTGTATTAAGAAGGAAGGAGAGAAAAGGTAAGGAATGGATCTCGACAGACACATGGAAGCTGATAGAGGAGAAGAGAAGGGTGAAGCAGAAGATAAACCAGTGCAAGAATGAACAACGAGAAGAGGAACTGAGTACAACGTATAAAACGCTGGACAAAGAAGTGAAGAAGAGTGCACAGAAAGACAAAAGACACTTCTACGACACACTGGCAAGTGAAGCAGAACAGGCTGCAGGTAGGAGAGACAGAGACCTAACAACATTACATCAAATAACTATCTGGTAGGGAAGAGATCAACATAGATGAAACCAGTAAAAGATGATGAAGGGAATCTAATTACCAAAAAAGAGAAACAAAGGAAACGATGGGCTAACTACTTCGGAAAGCTCTTGAATCGACCACCACCACCACCGTCATCTGCAACGTGTCCAGAAACACCACCAGTCAACTGGCCGCAGAACTATCAATAAACACAAGCCCTCCGACGAAAGCAGAACTGAAGTCGTGAGCACCATCAAGTTGCTGAAATGCGGGAAAGCAGCAGGACCAGATGGGATCCCGCCAGAAGCACTGAGAACAGACGCAGAGACAACACTGGACATGCTCGCACCACTATTGCAGAAGGTCTGGAAGGAAGGAAAGGTACCTGCCTATTGATTGGAAGAAGGGCTACCTTGTTAAACTCCCAAAGAAGGGCGACCTAAGTCTTTGCAAGAACTGGCACGGAATCATGCTCCAACGCTGTCCACACCAAGTAAAATATTAAGCCGCATCATCCTGGAGAGACTAAAGGATGCGCTGGATTCAAAACTACGACCGGAACAGGCTGGCTTGCTGGATTCAGGAAGTACAAGTAATGTGCAGTCCAAATTGCCACACTACGCTACGCATCATCATAGAACAGAGCGTAGAATGCCAGTCAACCCTCTACGTCAACTTCATTGATTTTGAAAAGGCCTTCGACAGCGTCAACCATGAAGTAATTTGGCAGCTATTTCAACACTACGGAATACCACAAACCTTTATCAACCTCACTCAACAACTATATGAAGATGCTACATGCCAAGTAATTCACAATGGGAAGCTCAGTGATGCCTTTGAAGTGAAGACAGGAATAAGACAAGGCTATCTACTATCACCCATGATGTTCCTGATTGTGGTCAACTGGATCATGCAGCAAACAGTGAGCTAGAAGATGGGCATACGCTGTTTGGTCGACTAAAAGACCCCAGAAGAAGATTTGGATTTCACCGATGACTTGTGTCTAATGTCGCACAAACTCAAGGATCTACAGGCGAAAACCAACAAGTTGACAGAAGAGGCAGGGCAGCGAAGGGAGATGGGACTTCAAGTGAGTGTAGAGAAGACAGAGGTGATGAGGATACCCAACCAACAACAACATCAAGCTCCAATCACCATCAAAGGGAGAAACTTAAAGGAAGTAGCCTCCTCCACCTATCTAGGCAGCACTGTTTCAACTACAAGTGGCAGCACAGGTACAGACGAGGATGTCAAAGCCAACCAGGATCGGAAAGACATCAAGACAGGCCTTCCTTCATGAGTCTGAATTCAGTGTGGAGATCTACTGCACTCTACCCAGCAAAAAGAACAACATCCGGATTTTAAACACTAATGCCAGTCAAGTCAGTGCTTCTATATGTTGAGACTTGGCGCGTTTCGAAAAGTATTTCAAACAAACTACAGATATTCATCAACAACTGCCGCCTACGCTCACTCCATAGTGAAGATCAGATGGCTAGAAAGAATAAGCAACAAGGAACTCTGGCTGGCTGGTAACGAACCAACCAAGAACCTATCGCTCAACACATATGCAGAAGAAGGGAGTGAAGATGGATTGGGCATGCACTGAGAAGGCTGATTGGGGACAACACGCAGCAGGCCAGGCCAGGCCATGCCCTCAAGTGGTACCACAAGGGGAGACGACGAGTTTGGCGTCCGAGGTGAGGGTGATATGAAGGAGATCGTGTGAGGAAGAAATGGAAGGATATGGGCGGTCGTGAAGTCAGGTTGAAAAGACTGCAGAGAAGAGAGCGAAATGGCGACGTGCTACTGAAGCTCTAGGTTCCACTATAGAACCCAAGAGAAAAATAATAATAATCATCTTCAAGTATGCGGTATTACTCCTGACTTATTTTTATCTCAGATGGAAAGATCTCACACCACTGAATGACGACGTGATTTCCCACAGGTCTAAATATTAGGAAACTGCGTTAGAAAATCTTTAAATCAGCTGAAACAGATGATGATTCTCATTCCTTAGCTTCTGACTGTCACTTCACCAATTAATGCAGAAACGTTTCTAAGATAATCACGTGCAAATTCAAGCAGCAGGTGACCAGCCGTACCTACTTCGTGAAAGCTAATGATACTACTACCTGGCTCCCCAAACCTCCATCGGCAGGGCTGGGTTCGAACTCGTGACCCAACGGTTGGAGACCAAGTACCTAGACCGATCCGCAATAGCTCCCTACGTAAAAAAAAACAACCCAAATACTTAAAGAAAGCGAATGAAAACAGAAACTGGAACGGAACAAATCTCATCCTGATAGAAACAAGGAGTTTTGTCAGTTCAGAATTTTCCATTTCCAAACATAAGTGAATAGCTCATCTTTCTTTTATGTCGAACTTCGAATATTGCCATTCCTAAAACGTGCCTATTCCCCAGCAGATGGCAGCTACCTTGACACAGTGATCGGGTTTGTCTATCACAGTGACCCAACGAGCTACACCGGATGGAACGCTGGTTCCATCGAGGTCCCACTATGCAAGAAAGGTCTGTTGGATAGTGGTGAGAAGAAAAGCAGTTACCATCGTAATGAAAATTACTACACTATGATAGAAATCATTCTGCTGGCATAATGGGGTGTGACAGCAGTAAGCTGTTTCCTTTGGACGACCAACAGTACCACCACGATGCCTTCTCGATGAGAAGGCAAGGTTATAGAAAGGCCGGCCTTGAAAATAGCACACTCCTTCCTGCTCCACGGTCTTCCAGTGCTGGCGGTATGGATTTTCTTTGTCCAGCGTTAGGACAGCCAAATCTCAAAACAGTAACCCGCAAAGGTCTATGTGTGACAGAACTCAAGCAAATGTCTCCCTCCAGGTAACTTAAGAAGAAATAGCCTTCCATGCTGTGTGCAGCCTGGAAGTGTCAACCACCCGCACACTTTCTGCAGTACGCAAGATATATCTATCCAAAAAAACATCAAGTAATGGATATCAGAACATAGATAATAACATGATGCTAGAGCATAAAAAAATTATGGTGAAATAGTTTTGTACAGAAAATAAGAAAAATCCTACATTGCAATAAGCTTGAGACATAATTGACAAACGCGAACGCTGTTCATCCCATACATCTGCAGCAAGTCGTTCAGCGACTTCTTTTTGAAAAGTCAATATCAAAGGGACTCGTCCATACCGCCAAATACCTCGTCGTTCAGCAATGTCATGTAGCCACTGACATACAAGCGGAGTAGAAATATTAAACGGTAAATTTCCGATAACACAAATTTTCCGCGAACTTATATTTTCCAGGGCAGTGTCTGTCTGATTTTCGGACAGAGACTCGTGAATATGTAAGCCTTGTAACTGAGACGAATCATTCCATGCTCCTTCACCGCTCATGGGATTGGTAGGGAAAATGCCTTCGCAGTTGAATCTCAAAATATCCTGAAAACAACAAACGTGGTATTGAGTTGAAAGAACTATTCTGAAAAAAGCAGGTATGACAGACTAGTGACTACGCTTTTTCCAACCAATTTTGTGTTTAGACTAAGGGATTTTAGCGAACTCTGTAACAATGGTATTCACATAAGCAAACCTCAGGGATAAGCCAAGCGTAAACACCATAAGACATGGTATACCTTTGCAATAGTCTAAGTTTCTTCACTTCACATCAATACGAGATGGGAGTCAGCAGGAGGAAAGACAAGAAAATGAAAATAACGACTGATATCGTTGTAAGGAACCGATAGGCAAAGAAAAGAGACGAGGAGTAAAGACATTCGATGCAACCATTCGGATAAGAATACGTAGGGCATAAATGCATAAATCGTACTGTGGTAGTTCTTGATCTACATCACCAAGTCTTCAACTCTAACGAACCTAAACCAGAAATTTACTCAGTTCACATCACCATGAGGCTTGAAATCGCCACATATCGTTCATTAAATGTGATCATCTCGGAACACTTAGTTTACGTGACTCAGACATGTCAGGCATGTTGACCTGGAGGTCTTCTCACTGTTCACTGTTCGCTTCCCTTGGGACTGATCGAAAGGGTCAGACAGGTAGGTGATCAGTGTATGATATGGTGGGATGGGACATAGAAGTCCCGTTACGTTAGTATCTGCAGATGCTTCATGGCCCCCTGGATAGAAACTGAGGGACTAAGCCACTCAACTGCTTGGGACAATAGCGGACATGATTCCAAATCAAAACCAACGACGATCATGTGGTAGTTTTGTTTCTTCGACTACAAAGATTTGAAATGAAGTCCGTGCTTTTTTGTATGCATCTTTGAGGTCGCTTCTTCGATAAGTCACTTCTATCTCTGTTTCCATCCTCTCTTCCGTTTTCTGTGCCTTCATAGCTTCGTTTTATTGCTCTTGATGCCTATATTGTTTCTGTTGCAATATTTCTAATAATACACATCATATCAGCACACCAAAGTAGCAGTCAAGAAGACAAAAGACGAAGAAATCATCAAGTCATAGGAAGCTAAGAGAAAAGAATGGAGGCTAAAGCAGACAACGAAATGTGTAAGGATTTGAACCATTGTAATCAGTTTCGATTGTCTCATACACCCTAATCTGTTAGTTTACATCAGATATCATAATTTTGGAAAGGTCATAGACTTAAAAAAGGAAATACTATGTATGAGGAGTGACCATAATGCTTTGTAGGTTTCACATAATCCCATCCTTAATCGGGTTCAAGAAATTGTCAGCAACCTATCATGCCGCAACATATAAGACTAGATGCAGACACATTATGCGCAGTAAAAGGCCATTCCAAGCTAATTTTTCAACAACAGAGCACGAACAAACTTATGAAAGGTGGACGAAGAGAAAATAACCAAAACTAAGAATGAAATATCGTATGGAATCTCAGGAAATAAGGATTGAATGAAGCGAAACTTCTAGGATTGAATTCAAAGCACCAACATGTAAACAGAAGTTCACACTGGAAAAATAGAGAAGTGAATAATTTGCCTGATACACCCCTGACTATGAAAAGCTTTCGTAGATTATTTCGACCTGTATAACAAACTCCTGATTTTGAAAAAGAAGTATGTGTGTTATAAAAGTTGTATGCTCTGAGAAATGGTAGAAAATAAAAACATGGCTAGACAAAATAACGTCCAGCTCTTCTTCACCTGTCACTATCCAGAAACAATGACTATAGAGGGGTGTGAAGCGAAACATTTGAAGATGAAAGCCGTTAGGTCAACCATCATGTGTATATCCCATCAGACTGTTGCTCTTTTCGTAAAATATTCACATAACCAGACAATGGAGTTATTGCAATAAAACCAAACCTAGTTCCTGTACATGAATTTAAACCTGAAAACCTTAGAATTAAAAGCTGACTGGTGAAAGCTAGCTAAATTATATTCTGATGTAAAAAGCTTCAATTTTATAAATGTGTTTTCTGCAAAAGTTGAAAATATTTCTTCACCACCAATACAAATTTTCAAGGTAGCAACAAATGTATGTAGAAAGCAAAATTTAATTAATTCATAAAATTTCACCGAGTATCATAAATTTCTCTGCTGAATATACTATCTACTTGATCATATATTCTATGATATAATACAGGGTGAGATGCACACCTAGGACAAGGAGTAAGGGCGGGAGGGTGATGGGGTTTAGCCACATAAATGTTTCTGGACATTATCATGCAGACATATGAAAGATTGTGAGATCGGGGGTGGTGTGGAAAACTGTATGGAATTCACTTTGAATACGTCATCGTGAATGCAAGACTTGGCTTATTGATGAATCTTTTGGGCTTTCCGTGTGTTTTTTTCGGTAGGGTTTCCTTCCAACCTATTTTATTTACAATGATGTATATCTAAACTTTACTCCATGCAATTTTTCAGTTGATTTTTACAGTTTTACTTGACAGTTTTCAAAAACTTTCATTTTGGTTAATTCTTACTCGTTGTCCTAGTCTTAAATGTAGGTGTGCATTTCACTCTGTGTTAAATCATAAGAATATATGACCAAGTATGCAGACTATTCAGCAGAGGAGTTTTACTGAAAGATATGAATTTATAAAATCCTGGTTTCTATACATTTTTATTTTGACTATCTGAGATATCTGTGGTTCGGTAAACTAGTATTGTTACCGGGTGGTGATTGAAGGTGAAACGAAAATCCACGCCGTAGCAGGTTACAAATCAGGTTACCGGTTCAGTACCCCACTAACTGAACCACGAGACCTGACTCCTCATCATATTTTTATTTCGTTTCAATCACTTCAAAAAAAGGTTACAGCGCAGGTCTTTTAGATAAATCATTTTCACCCACAACTGTACATTCATAAATATATCAGTAAAATGATCCACATACGTTTCCGGTCGAAACAGGTGCGGAGTACATGATTAGGGTTATGCTGAAGAGTTTTTACATATTTCTTTTGAATACAAAATCAAAGTTCGAAGCTCTAAATTTTCGAAGCTTCGGATGTACATAAATGTTTAATCCTCATACATTTTAAACGGTTTGGATGAACTTTGTAGAGAACTTTGGACCAGGTATCCAGGACAGTCACATGTCCAAAGTTGACGAGGTGTTCAATGATGGAGCTGGAAATGGCTTTATGCTCAGCAACCAGAATGGGTAATGTTTGAGTATTTTTCAAGCGCGTGCATAATACGGCCGATGTAGTCAGCTCCATAGGAACAAGTGAACTTGTAAATACAAATTAGTGAGGACCTATGAGTCACCTGGTCTTTCACACACTGAAAATAGGGGGGTTTGGGGCGTAGAATGTTCTACTTAGGGACTTTGACAAACGATGACGAAGGATGTCTTCTGAACATGAGGTTTATTGAAAGCATTTTCTAAGGAGATATCTGGATCTATTCCATAGTCTTATTTTCTCATACATTTTTCTCCATAAATCTGGATGGGTAGCCATTCTCTAACAGTATTTCTCAAAGGGTTTTTAATTCTTCATGTGAGGGAGCGCACAAGATTCCTCTTCCTACTTTTAGTGACCGAACTTTGAAATTTGGTCAATTGCCCGTGCCAAGTGAACTTTCTGCAAATAGATCTTTGAATGAAATCATCAGGTTTCCTCTGGAGTTTGATACTGATGAAATGAAACGTCAAGTTTGATTCAGCTTCTGATGTAAATTTGACCGAAGCATGGCTATCGCTGAAATTTTGAAGAAGGCATGTCCGGTTCGTGTTGTCATCACAAACAATGAAGATATTGTCCATATATCTTTTGTCTTCAAGAGGTTCACCGATTGTTGGGAGCAATATGCTATTCTCAAAGTTAGCCATGAACTAGTCGGTAAGTAGAGGTCCAAGAGGCAATCCCATTGCTATATCATTAGTTTGTCGGTAGATTTCGTAATTAAGTCTGAAGTGAACGTTAAACGTACATCTAAGAAGTTCTTTCAGGTAGTGGCTTGGCAGGTCAACATCTAGACTTCTGTATGGATGAAGTCGCATATGAAACAGATTGTTTCTGTTAAAGATACGCCAGTGAATAGTGGCACGATGTCTAATGAAAACATTCCTCTTCCAGACAGATTAATACCCCTAATAGACTCAGTAAACTCGAATGCGTCAGGAACTTTCAAGAGCTGTTTCTTTAGAGACTCAAGAGCTACTTTGCAATTGTGCGTTATGGAAAGCTTGTCATGTCCAGCATTGGAAGGAGAAGGATGTCATATTTGTACACCTTTGGAAAACCATACAAAGGTGAAGTAATAGTTCCAGAAAGGTGTTGTTCATAAAGATCATTGTTAATGATCGATTTGTCTTTCATTTTCTTTAGCAGTTTAGAGAGTTGCTTTTCTGACTGTCCAGTTAGGCTTTTCTGATTCGTTGATGAATAAAATTCCTGATAAAATAATGAAAAGTTGTCAACATAGTTGCATTTATTCAGCAATACTACCCCAGTGCCTTCATCTGGACAGATTACCACGAACGTACAGCTGTGAAAAATAGGTCGTCGAAAAGATAATTACCGTCGCTATAGCCTCTTCTTTGTTTCTCAATGATCAAAATGGGGATTTTTCGTCAACTGGTATTCATTACTTTGGTGTCAGACAGACAAACAAAGTCAACGTAAAATCTCGCACACAACTGCATCGGCTCAAATTGCCACACATTTCACAGTACCAGCCAGAAAACAAGTGGATCGAAAAAGACTGGTATCAAAGTGGATAAAGTTGTATAGGAGAATAAGCAATCTTAAGATGACGGTTAGCGCAAATATTCAAGCTTAGATGTCAAGGAGTGAATACATCTGCGATATTGTGACCGATTTTCAGCCATTTCACTAATAGTCCTCAACCATTGATTCCTTTCATCTCAGTGATCCTAGACATGTAATCTACATCTCTTAGCACGACTCAGACCAACAAAAAGAGACTTTGTCGACTAGTGCCACCTCCTGGTCTTGTCACAATGAATCCTCTTCCAACCTAATCCAACTTCTCCCACTAGCATGGCACATCGAGGTAGGCGCTGACTCGGCATACCCAACACATGTTCTCATCTCAGTTGACTATGGTTCACAATCTCATCAATCGAATAGTCTGTCTTGCCTAGTACCCTTCGCCTGACCTCAACACTGCTCACACGGTGATTCCACTAAACGCGACCAACACTATGAAGATATCTGTGACCATTACCCTATAATCGTTCCACATTTAATTTTAACAGCCACGTCTCGCAGCCATATAACAGGAGGACGAACTGCAGTGCAGTCTACTCGTCCCTTGATAAGTAGCCGGATATCTATCCGGCACCAGAGATGACGCAAGTTGGTAAATGTTTTTCATCCAGTGGATATGTAACTACAAATATAACAGATACGTTAGCGGGGCACAAATGCTTTATAGGCAAAACATTGGATTGGCATGGTATTCACTGACTGAAATCACCACGGGAAAAATCAAAGTACTAACGGGAACCGTATGTACGCTTGTGGAGTAGGTAATGAACCGCATATTTTATGTGCAAGCCAATGATATTAAAATGTTTGCACTTAATTTATGGTCGTGTTGAATAAATGAGAGATACCGAAAACGGAGACAACTATGGATAAGATTAAAGGTAACATATCTAGTGTACAGGATTAAGTCTAAGAACTCTGGTAATCGGAGATATGCTAAAATCTAAATAGTCAGAGCAATAACAAGTTCCCTGTAGGCATCTTACATCAAACAAGAGATACAGCATGCGGTAAGTACCTAACAAAAGAAGTCAAGTCGGCATTTTGATGACAAGTTGTCTGTTTCTTTCCCTTACTGTAAGCATTATATTTCCAACCTCCTTAAGAGAGTGCTGAATGCACCCTGTGCTTGTTTAAGGTGTTCTCCGTTTCACTTTTCCACCAGCATGCAACCAAAATAAGTACATCCTCCCAAGACATCTGTTGTTCTCTTGAAATACGTCGATTTCGCTTTTATACTGAGAGTTTCCTCAAATTGCCACTGTTATAAAACCACACATTTAGCAATACTACCTGACTGTCTACACGCCGGTAGGCGGAGTGCCATTCTAACCTGTAACCTAATCGGTAATAGTTGACCGTCCAAACCGATAAGCCACGGCTCTACACAATACATCACATTCGAGTAGAGAATATCCTTACACCACAGTTGAGTGGATATCAACGGAGAGAATATTGGTATGTATGTATATAGTCATTTTGACCATCTGAGATAGCCGCGGTTTAGCAGGCTGGTAATTATACTGGGTGATGATTGAAGGTGGAATGAAAATTTGGACTGCGGCCGGATTCGAACCAGCGACTATCGACTTTCCGGCCTGACAGTCGCTGGTTCGAATCCGGCTGCAGTCTAAATTTTTATTCCACCTTCAATCATCACCCAGTATTAATATGTATGTAAGTTAAATAAAATATCTACGACTTCATCAAACAACAAACGGACAGTCAAACGTAAGTCGAAGTTGACAAGTCAGTCATTGGACTCCCATCATTGCGAAAATATTTTTATCTCTATTCCTTATAACAGTGAGAACAAACAATGCTCGCAGTTTGAAATAGATAATAAAGAGTTGAAGGTTGTAACCAAGGTTGTAAGTTATCAACCAAGTAACGGACAAACGACTAAGAAAACATACCTGTCTAAATATCTCCATTTGCGTCCCCATTTCGAGTGCAGCAAGACGTAATTCCTGAAGCCCAGGAATAAATCTCCTGTCTATCTCCACCACCGCGACATAACGTGGACCTTTCTGCAGAATAGCTCGAGTAATCCCACCTGGACCTGGACCAACTTCGAGGACATATGCACCACGCAAATTCCCTGCACATTTAATTAAGCCATTTATAGATGATGGTTGTAAAAGAAAATTCTGTGATAATTGTTTCCGGGCTCGGATACCGTATATACGGATGACTTCGCGGAGAGAAGGAAGAGGAGGTAAACGGATGGACTAAATGCAAATGAATCGATATCAATAAACTATCGATAAAAGCGAGACTCCTGATGTTTAAACTAGTCAACCAGATAAGGTAATCATATAAAGTCTGCACAGGTATATTTATATATATATATATATATATATATATATATATATATATAAACAAAAAAAATTAGTGCAGCGCAGCACTTGCCTCTATTTACAGACACACCAATGTGTATTCGCACAGTCCCAGATAACTCAAACTGAGTAACGGGTAATGCATAAAGTTTAAAGATATATTACTTCTTGAACTATAGTATGGTTCGAAGTTATGATGCTATGCTGATATTGACTGACCAACTTGTGATAGAATCAATTAAACCTGGTCGTTTAAAGTCCCAATCTACTTCTATGAAACTATGAATTTGCTTCAATACGAACTCAGCATAACATGAGGACTTAGAAATGCAGAAATCGAAATCCATTAAGCAACCACATGTACTTTCGTGAAGTAGGCAATGAACCATACCTATTGTGTGAGGGCTTATAGTACTACATGGCTGCCCAGGCTTTAGTAAGCGGAGCGGGGTTCGAACCCACAGCTCATCGAGTGAAAGTCAATGCGTAGACTGATGAGCCGCAGCTCCTCACTTAGAAATGTCACATATGGTATAGCAGCAACATGAATACATAGATGATGAGGGAAAATGGACAGACGAACATAAACATCTATACACTGCATCTGAAAAGCATTTGTTGCCCTTTAATCGATTTTTTTTAAAGGAGGACAAAACAGCCACAGCATTACAATTGTCAGTTTCCATTCAGAGTTACGTTAGGTAACTTCATGAGCCACTGGGCCACATGATAACTTCATTCAGGATGTCATAGTGCTCCAACAGATAAAAACACAACACAAAGAACCTTTACCTCACATGCTAAAGTTACAAGCTGATCACCGACAATTCTAGCACTAGGAGCTAGGGATTAGCGAGGAAACTGTCCAATAGTTTGCGCAAGATGTGTTAAATTATCGAAACCAGTGCTTAAGCATGATCTCATTCACTGAGTGACGATTAATATTTTGTTCAAGTAAATATCGCTGGACCCCAGAATTAAGTAAGTTTTGTCACCTGATACAAAATTTTGTCGAAAAGACAGTGATGGAACACGGAGAGCAGTTACATACACTTAGTTCTGAGAGGTTGAACTTCATTGACCCATATGACTAATTTCACTGATCTTTTCGACCCAGGCTTTCGCAGTTTGACTAACGTCGTGAAAAGACTAAATGTGATCCAGATTGGTGCACTTTGTAGTAGCTTTAGCTTTGCAGTAAGAAATACCGTCTACAACACTCCTAATGGCATACAAATATTCAGATACATGAATCTTTATACTTTTATATTAGTCTATCCATGAAGACAGCGCTATTACAAAACCTTTACTAATCTAGCAAAACTGATTTGTACTACGATGTCGCAAAGCACGTACTACAGAAATACGTATTATCAAGCAATTAAATTATTTTAGTAGCGCGTATACTATCTCACGTTAATTTTCTATCATCCCCATACTAGAGGTGAAACGGTTATTCCACGGATAATAGGTCTATCCTATACTAGGCACTTGCGCAGATGTCCCATTTACGTCAGTTAAAGAAAATCAAAATTTGGAAAACCCCATGGCTAACTTAAAACAAAAACATAGAGAAAGGTGAATGCACACGTCCTCACTGACAAACGTCTCAGAGACATCCCCACTTGACAATTTTAGGCCCCAGTACTGTTCAACAAGTGTAAGAAAAAAGGATTCCTGGTTTATGAATTATGCCGGAGTTCAAGCATCTCTTACGGTAAGCACAAGATCGTCAGAATACCCGGGCTTTCCTGTATGCAGATACAAATGCTGCAACGTATTTGGAAGTAAGCAGGCACTACAATTGAACTGACGTACTACAACAACCCAGAAGAATGTCTCCGAAAAACATCCCCTTAATATCGTCAAGAAATAGTAGACATACGAAATAGAATGCCGCAGTTACCATTCCTGTCTAGCTTACGAACGTACTAATGGATATAACTCTAGGTACTTCCGGTGTCTCAGAGAATGATCTTTTCCAAGGAGAATAACGGGCTGACTTAGCATTCAGAAGACAGTAATACTAGGCGAAGATGTTGACAAATTTCAATTTATGCTTCAGAGCTGTTCTGCATTTACACACCGTTTAATAGAGAAGTGAATTGGTAAGATGTGTTGATCATTTTACTTAGGGAGTTGCATTAGCCTTAGCCTGGATTCAAAACGCCCGTTCGGCAATCACCAATTCACCCCATCTCCGATGCCAGTGAGATATCCGACTACCTTTTACAGTACGAGCACATTGCTCTAACCTATTATACGGCTGAGACGTGGCCACGGAAAATATGTATGAAGAGGTTACAGGATTTTAACCGCAGGTTTCTTCACACCGTTGCTCATGTGTGGTTGAATCACCATGTGAGCAATGTCAAGGTTATGTAGAGGAAAGTAAGCAAAAGCAAGTCAGCCAATGACGTTGTGAACCTTGACCAAGTGAGTTGAACTGGATATCTGTTGTTCATACTCAGCCATTACCTCCCTCGATGCGCAGTGCTAGTCAAAGTACGATTCGATCGGAAGAAGGCCAAAGGTGGATACACCATGATGCGGCACCAGAACACAGAGCCTTCGACTGTTGGCCTGAGCGGTATAGGTAAGTGTAAACTGTCTGGCTGGAATTCGCGAGATAATTGAGACCAACGGTTGCAGACTATAAGTTGTATGGTTGAAAATCATCACAATGGCGCAGATCTACACATCCTTTGACATTTTCGAGAATTTAACCATTTGCACCAACCTTAATTTTTTCAAATGCTCTTCCCTTTCATTCACTTTTCTCTATCTTAGTACCACTTTCTCCACTTCTCTGAATGGTTCTGTAAGGTGCGCAAACTTGAGCGAGTGCAATTCTACACCAGATCCTATGTTGTTTTGTCTTTTTCCCACACTGAATAACCTCCAAGATTAGGGGAATATAAGTCAGCACCTGCTCTCTCTATGATCTACAAAAGATAAATCCGACCGATGGCTGCTGCCTTGACATGATGATCGGGCTTACACATCACAATAACCCAACAAGCTACAGCGACTAGAGGAATGCTTGTTCCCTGGAGGTCTTATTATACCAGGAAGATCTGTTGGATAGTGGTAAGACAAAAGGCAGTAACCGTAACGATGTAATTTGCTACGCTATGATAGGGGTTCAAGGGCGAAATCGTACTGCTGGCTGGATTGGTGTGAAAGCAGCGTTTTTCCTGCGGATGATCAGCAGCGTCACGCTGATTTTGCTTTCTCTATGGTAAGGGGGTTTAAAGGTAGACCCTAAAATAGCACACTCCATCCCCATCCCATGGTATGCCGGTGCAGGTTTCATAGTCGCACTTGCAGAAAACAAACAATGTGAGAGAAGGAAAGGAAATATTTCTTTACTCACAATGTTTATTTTCTAATTTCCAACTTCTAAAAACATCGTGTATGACCAGCTACAACCAGATATCCCTTCGGCTCTGTGGTCATAAAATAACCCTTCTTTTTCAGGCACCTCAACAAGAACCAGTCTTCCACGACGTCAGCACTCAAGTCCTTTCATTTCACTGTCCGCCTCCCACATCCTTAACATATAATCTTCCTTCATATCTCTCAGTCACCGATCTTACATTACCTTTAATCTCCTCCAGCTTTGCACCTTTTGATAACAACCTGAATTCATGGAACAGCATCAACAATCTCCCAAATCTGCCCTCTAAACTACACCTTTAAATGTCCAGACTCTATCAAATCGGAAAACAAGCTTCACTAGCCAAAACTCTAGCAGCTCGGGTAGGGGATGTGTGCTGTGTTTCTAATACATCCATACATCCAAGTGCGACTCTTCACTAAAACCTCACGAGGCCAACCTGGTAAATACGAAAGTTCACTCTTCGAATTTCTTGAGATTCGATATCTAGTTCTTGCAGTCCTGCAGGTGTAGGTATAGCACTAAGCACTAAGGCAGAAAGTTCACTACTCAACTGGATCCCAGTTGACAGTTGCTTACGCGCTGTTCGAATGAAAGGCACAGGCACGGTGAAACACCGTTGTTTCATTCGTAATCCCTGTTTACGCACACAGGGACTGCAGTTCGGATGAAGTGAAGGATGAGTTCTACCGAAAACTGTCTAGCCTCCTTCTGAAAGCCGAAAGTTCACAAGTGGTTGTCGTTGCAGGTTATTTCTATCCACAAGTGCGTAGGCTAAGTCAGGCAGAAAGGCAGTTAGGTGGCACTTTAAGAATCCCCCAGAGTAAATAGATAACGGAGACCGCCTGCTACAAATGCGATCGGACAGCCATTTATTTCTAGCCAGCACGAACTGCAGACATGAAGAGAGACATCGCCCAACTTCAACTCAGCGGTGGTTACATAGACCATATTGCCATCTCGTCGCTGCAAAGAGCTAGTAGAAGATTGCTGCTCTTTTCATAGCAAGTGTTTGTACAGAGACCACGGGTTGGTCCCAGCGCGTGTGTATTTACTCCTCAATGGACGTAGAAAAACTATAGCAACGAGATCAGCGCAAGTTCAGCGCGATAGTGAGAGCAGTAAGGATGCTTTCAGTAATAAACTGGCTAGATAGGTATCAGAAAAGAACAACACCCATCCAGAAGGAGCATGGGGTCATCTCCAATCTGCCGTGAAAACTGAGTTGAAGACCGTAGCCGATCTTCAGAACGTGGTTAAAAGGAACCAGCGGATCACAGCACCTTCTTCTAAATCAGTGGATGAACGCGAACGCATCCCTCCAGGCTCCGGGCACAACGATGAGCAGAAGTAACTCAAATATAGACTGATAAATAGTGTACGAAATTACGGCTAACAGTGGTGGGTAGCGAAGGCTAAAGAGATGGAAAAGGCAGCAGCTATATGTAACAATTGAGTTATTTAGATTTGTTGAGGAAACTGGAACGAAAAGGTTAGTGATTAGTGAGACGATAGTGGAGAAGAATGGGTCTGCGAATCAATCGCGGGGGAGAAGACGGGAAGGATGGGCAGAACACTTCGAAAAACAGCTCCTTGTCTCCAAATAAGATACCGATCCAGTCGGTTCCTGACTGGAATATCGAAGTAGGACTACCGAAACTTACAGAAGTTGAGAAGGCTGTAAGTAGCCTAAAACGGGGGACAGGAGCAGAGCCAGACGAACTAGTTCCTGAGATACTCAAAGACGGTGGTAGGGGATCATTGGTCAAATTAAATGAACTGTTTACTAGCGTATGGGAGTTAAACATGATCCTCTCTAATGCCTCAATCACTGACTATCCTAGTCAACAAGGTGAAAAGTCGTTTTGTGATAACCATAGAGGAATCAGCCTGACTTAGATTTTAGGTTCTATAATCACTAGACGTCTGAGTAGAGCTTGAGAACAAATAAATAGAGGAAGCCACATATGGTTTTGACCTGGACGTCGGTGTATCTTCCACATATCCACACTCCGCCGGGTTCTCGGAAGCACTCACACTTACTGACGCCCGAAACTGGCGATATTTCCCAACCTGGAAGCATCATCTAACTACGTCGATCAAAAGGTCCTACGGAAGTATCTCTCACTGAAAGGAGTATCAAGTAACTACATTACTCTATTGAAGGCTCTGTACTTGAATTCCCTTGGGACAGTTAGAGCTAACAGTGAGTTGTCAGGTCAGTTGTTTACGTCGAGTGGTGTCCGTCAAGGACGTCCACTCAATCCATTCTTGTTGAGCTTTATCACAGATGTACTTATTGAGGTGTTCCTCGCACCATTTGACTTCACACGAACTGATCTTACCACAAGAAAGTTATTGGTAGACCTGGAGTAACCAGATGGCATAGTCCTGTCATGTGAAGACTCTAACAAGACGCTGAGTCTACTGGATGCTTTGAACGACAATTTGAGGGTGTTTGAGACGCGTCTCTTGCCACTCAGATGCAGATTTTCGCCCCTAGATTGATCTCTAGTGGTGCTCAGCCTAACAGTAAAGAGTGAAATAGCTGAGGGCGGTGACCATTACACTTAGCTAGTGGGTCAGTGATCAACAAAATCTCTGCACGGATACGAGAGGCTCGATTGGCTTTCACCAACTTACGCCAGCCTACTGCTCTGCAGTTCACTCCATTCTACTAAATGGCTGTGAAACACGGTCATGTATTTGACTGCCACTGCCTCCGTACCATAGGCCATGCGTCGTAGTCATCAAGTCAGTAATGCAGAGGTTAGGTGTGCACTTTTAGGGAGAAGAAAGTCAGATGATGTGCCTGTGAGCTTTCATCGACTGAGATGGCTGGGACGTATGTTACACATGCTTAGTCTCCGTCAGACTCATTACACAATGTGAAATGAAGTAGGTTCAGGTTGGAGAAAAGTTAGAGGCGGCCAGACTAAAATATAGCAGCATCACATGAAGCCTTCGACCGTTGGTACAACCTGTCAGGAGATGAAGACTAGCCAGTCAGAGTCCACGTGACAACAGAAACCCGGGGGTTGACGACTACGTGATATGGCTCAGGATCGATGTCATTAAGCAGATACTTCACACATTATCTTCATCTTAGTCGCCATACTGAACTAAGTGTTTTCTCACTCCTTCTTTTCACCTTGCTACTTTTCATGGATTTCTCTTCATCTCTCATCTTAGTGCTTTCTTGCTGTATGTAATGACAAAAAGTTGTGGACCATTATGCAGCAATACCTGGTCTTACGTTAATGATGATAACGAAGGTAAAACTCGCGAAATATAATCCCGCACCGCTCACTTTAGGTTGGTTGCTTGACATATCCTAACAACCCTGTAGCTGGTAGATCATAACCACATAAGAGTTAGCGCCAACAGTTGTTGGCGTCTCCAAACTGCACCATTCTCAGGCTCCTGATTATAATTCAAATGATCTGTATGAATTCGACTGATATAATATATAATAATCATCTAGCTTTTCCATCTAGATTCAGATTGAAGGTCTCGAAGGCCTTAGGAATCTAGAAAGTTTGCACAGTATCCCGTTTATTTTCAGCTCTCCCCCGCAACCATTTCCAGAGGGTAACGTCTACTCTACTACTCTATGCCTGATAAAAAACAGAAAAAAGAGAGCAGTGAGGGTGTCCTGCAAGCTGTTCCTTATACATCCTTGGTACTACATTTGCTTCAAATACTATAGTCTTTCTCGTTTTCTCGCAGAAAATACCCCCTTTTAACCAATTCAACTACATATCGGAATCCATTTCAATTCAACATACCCAATACAAACAGTGAGGGAAAACTGATTAGTTATAGCTAATCAGTTTGAACTGAAGTTCAAACTTGACCTGAGAGCTCTGCCTCAAGTATATACGCATTGAACATGTGTCTCTAGTTTGAATAAAACTATGTTTGCGCTTTCCGTTTATTAATAGATTAAATTATACCAAGAATCTACTGCCTAAAGAACACGCTGCAAATGACTCCAATAACCACCGACGGGACGACCTTGAAGGAATTATACTTTTTCCCGGCTTTTAACTAGTTCTAAATTCAATAGCCAATTTCTCTAAGGTGTATACAACTACATAAAAGTAAAATATCTTTTTATTTGAACCTTGGGTTTTATTCGTTTTGCCTTATTTATTCATTTGGTAGCCGCAGAATTCATTTCTGGTTTTTTTGTGTCGCTACTTTGTCTGTGACTCTCTCTGTGTTGGATGCTTTTTTCCAAACTTCAAACTAAGCGCTGTAGAAGTAGAAAAAAGTATCTCCTCGGGTCTTTTATTCACTTCAACTAAGTTCTGCCCTTGTCTATAGTGGCCACTTGCTCTCCTCGTCCAAAGGAGCCCGAAATAACAGTAGTCAATTAAGTCGTCAGCTTAGTATCGGTAATGTTGCCGCTCATAGTTTATAAGACGATAGGTGGCTCCTTGAGTGCAACTCACCTGCATCGCAGAGCTCTGAGTGCACATTTAATCTCCCCTTGAAAGCATTCCAAAAAACTGTTCATTAGGACTATTCGGTCTATGTTAAATCTCATGGGGGTCACTTCGTTTTCCACGGCAGTTAAGGGTGACTATGTTTAGTTTAGTCTGGTCAACCCGATGATGCATCTCAGTGGACTTCCCCATCTCCAGATGATCCAAGTTTCGCTTAAGCAGTTTAGGGATTGTTGAATTAGAAACCTCAAGGATGCTATAAGGATCACTCGGATGAGCCAAGAGTGATAGCTCTCTTTGAAGGAATTGTCTGGAATGGTTTAACCTAGCTACAATTTCTATATCGCTCACACTTTCCAGCTAAGTGAAGAACCCAGGGCCGAAATGTCCCTCATTTTTCCCCGCGCAACATTTTTGCCACTTAGAGTACAGATGGACCCACTCGTCTTACAAATTCGAGTTTCATTCCTTTTCACTTTTGACAACAATAACCCAGGCTTCCTCTGGTGTTTTGGGGTTTATTTTGTTTAAGATCATCCTGAGGATGTCACGGATCCTCACACTTATCTACTACTTGACGTATCTGTTGTCATCGCCTTCATATAATTGGTAAACGAACAGAAGAGGCATTATGTTAAGCAGCTTCCGCGTCCGGAAGCAGCTGAGTGGTAGTTCTCGTGTCAGAGAACTTCGGCGTAAAGAACAAAGGAATCGGTTTATCTGCATCCTGTGATATCTACTACTATCATAAAAGTATCAAAAGTTGCGTTACGTTTGGTTAGCAAAATAATGTAGCTTTCCGAGTAAAATAACTTATTGTTGACACAACAGGACAAACCAATTCATACCTTCGTCAAGGAGGGAAATAAAGCTAAGCACTTGAAAACAAACACTCTTAGTGGAAATTCGAGAGCGACTGCATTGGTATCTGTCTCTAAACATGATGAGATAGATGCATCACTCTGCAGTTTAGATGCTGGAGAGATTACTTTGTACACGCCTATCATTGGAGCCTCGAACATTCCTCCAAAATGCAGTGCTTAGTAGCGTACTTTGTACTGGTTTAAGTTTACCGGCCTCACATACCCAACACACAGTTTGAAATAGATACGTTACTGTACTGTCACTACTTTGCTGCTTGCTACGTTGTGGCTGAAAACTCACAGGGCTAATACTGATTGCATGCTTTAATTAGACATCACGCCGTACCACTGTCACTGCCACCCTTCTTGCTGCGCTGTGACTGTTTAAAGTATACTGTTCTGAGCGTTAAACGTTAGCTTTCCCTCAAACTGACCCAGTTCATCGCTTATGTATTCTTACCTAAAGGCAGGACTTCACTCTGTCGATTGAGAGATTTCGTCGCAGTATCCCTCGGTGAAAGGTTGCCAATTGATTTTGTCGCCCGGTTGAAGTTTCAGTATCCGTAAACCAGTGGGTTGTTGTGGACCATGGTGAGGGACTCAGTGATCATTTTCTTGTCGAGCGGTATGAGTGACAATCACTCCCTCTCTACTCTGCCTCAGTTTCTTACATGTGAGTATATGAATCCCCTCACCTGAATACATAAAGACTGACCCGGTCTCTGAGGCCTGACTAGTTGACTCGCAGGATGGAAATGCCATAAGTGATAATAGTAAGCCACGCAGTTCTTCTAGGTAAAGACTATGATGAGATGCAGCCTTCTGGGCGCCACCTGGCCGTCTGAAAATATTTGGAACGCGTTTCTCACACCTCAAACGTAGTGTTGCTCTACAGCTATCATGAGGTGGAGCACGCCTAATTATAAGACTTAAAGTGACCGAAAGCTATGACAACTTCAACAGATTAGGAAATTGCGGACTTAACAACCCGTATCTTTGTATCACAGGCTGTGTACGACGGAACTGTCGTATAAGTGACTTGGAAATCAAGTGAAGAGTTTTGAGTGAAGGTGAGTCAGCTGGTGAGGTTGTGAGTCTTCGCTTAATCAGATTATGAAGAAGTCGTTCTCCAGGCTTCTTTTGCTGCAGCTTCTTTTCGCTTTCCTTCATAAGTGCTGGTGTGAACTCAGACATCCTAGCAGCCGTATTCTTCTCTTCCAATCAACAGAAAATCTATACATTTCGAAGTATATCGCCTATCCTTATAGTACTATGTCCTCACTTATGAGAGCACCCTTTCATTAAAAAATATCTCCAGTCATGCTGTTCCTGTGGTAAGTGTAGAGGAAATTCTAAGAAACTTGTCTTACATCATCATATTTGACTTACCAGTGGTTGTCACACTCGAATGACATTCGATGCATCCATGTTATGATTGTATTGTCCATCATGAGCCTTCAGTTCCATTGGACACTAATCTGCGGTAAATTCCGTAACACTTCTGCCATTTGTGACTTCTGCTACCCGCCGCTAGACTTTAGCACTCTGCAACGACCGTTTTGATTTTCATGCTCCAGAATGCACATTTTAAGAACTCCATGTTAACCAGCGAATCACAGTATTTATTGCAAGTGCCCAGGATATGAGTGACCGTTTCATCTCCTCCAGTTGGAACTCTTAATACGAATATGTATTTCGTGCCAATCAGCCATATCGCCGCGTGCTCTCGCCTGTAAAAATGACTTACTTCTGTTTCGGATGTGAATGTTACCATTACTTATGCCCAGTCACCATCTAAACCGTTGCACCGCCTCAGATGACATAGGTTTTGTCTTGACAAAGACCAGAAGCGGCCAGACGGGACCCTGGCGCCCGTCCGGCTGTTGGCCTGATTAGTTCGTAGAATTGTAGACTTCCCGGCTAGGGTTTGGACGACGGCCGAGGCCCATGGCTGTATATCATAGAGTTCGTGACTCGTAATCGGTCGTTTGGGTGAAGATTCGTTCAAACATTAGCCCTACTTTGATCATCGCATCCAGTTTCGTCACCGTTTCGCTCCATCCTCTACTTTAAGTGGCTACCTACTGGCTTCAAACAATTTCCTCATTCTGTCCAAGTCCTTCATCTTGATATCTCTCACCCTTATATGTTGATATGAGGTATATCAACCTGCATCGTCAAACAGCGATTCCGGCTGGTATGATCGTGTCGACTCCGATGCAATACTCCTGGGTACACTCTGAATTATTATTATTATTATTTGCCCCTTGGGTTCCTAGTGGAACATAGGGCTTCAGTAGCACGTCTCTCGTCCACTCTGTTCTCTGGAATCTTGTCAACCTGGCTTCGCGACGGCTCAGAAGCTCCCATTTCTTCCTCGCACGATCCCTTCCATGTCACCCTCGTATGCCCAACTACACTGTGAATTGCTCTTACTCTACTTAGATGAAAGGGTTTAAGCAACCAACTTCGAATTACCCTTCGCGAAACTTCTGAAGGATAAGCAATAAAAATGTGGCCAAACTGTCCGAAAATAACCTTCAGATTTTCAAGTGACATATTTGCACTCAGAGCGAAACGGTTATTGAAAGACCTGTGAGGGGGTGTGTTACCATTCCCTAACGTTTGACCAGCCCCATGTGACTTGATGCGCTCCAGCGCCTGTTCAACCAGCACCTTACCTAGACTGTAAGTACTGACAACGAAACACGAGCCAAAAGAACTGGTTTCAGGAATATATCCGGAAAGTAATGCTTATTTAGAACAAATATAATAGGGATGAATAGGGGAAACGTTTATTCGGCTTATCTGGCTAGTAGATTGAACCAGGGACCCTGAGTACATGCACGCTAACCAGCACAAAGGAAGTGCGAAATGGTGCCGAAACTTGCTCGGATGCATGCTCTTTGTAACAAAGTTGAAACACATAAAGCATCCGAGGTGATCTAGAGGTTTATTTAGTTAATTTAATTTATTTATTTTAGCCCTAGTTGTACTTTGGTGCCAGGAAAGTGCACTACAGATTTACCTACATTGGTAGTCGAGATAGAGGGAATTCCTTCGAAAAAGATACCTTCAGCTCTGTGTCTTTGAATACGGGTGTGTAACTAGCATTGTCTGGAGGAGTGCAAGAACAGAATTTTCTCAGGGGGCAATCATCGGGCTACTACTATTTTTATTATTCATCAATGAAATTCCCGCCCAATTTTTCACTTCCACCCCCCCATTTGTCGACGATATCAAAATGTGGTGGATAATATGTAGGGAAGAGAATTCTAGAATACTCCAGGACGATCTACTGCAGCTGGAGCCGTGGTCAGCTGCAAAGTGTTCACGTTTTAACCTGTGAAGTGTAAGGTGATGTATCTTCGGACGCCACTGATGGTGAAGATCAGCTACACTCTCAACAAGTGTGCAGTTACGATGGCGTCCACAGAGAAGGACCCAGGACTAAACTTCTCTGACACACCGGATACTACTGCCAACCATAAGGGATTGGCAGCAAAAGCGCACGCTATCATGACCTTTCTAAGAGGGTGACTTGGAGCACCCAATCCAGAATTGTTCTTCATGGTATCTAAAAACTATGTAGGCTACACACAGAGGTACTTAACACGGTAGCCCCCTTCGCTCTACCAAAGACAAGTGATCTCGAGAAGGTGCGGGGAAGGGCGACGGGGTTGGCTATCAGAATACCAGGCAAAGCGTGTGCGCACCGCCTTGAACAACTCAACCCGTTCACATCGAAGAGAAGGAGGCGACCCAATGACAGCCTACAACATCACTCACCAGATGGACCACGTAGATGGTAATAATAATAATAATAATATGTATGAATAGCGAATAATACGAAAACACGCCATGTTAACAGGCGACATCTGAATTTTATTTCTTTATTCAAGCTATAAAAATTCAGAAAAAACAAACCATCGTGCCACACAAAGTCTCCTGGAGTAAACAATTGTTTAGATGTTGCTGGTTACGAATATTTGATAAGAGTGATATCGTTAAACAGCAGTAGTGAAAGTTAATGAAGGTATGATCATTCAGTATGGGAAGTATCCTGGCAATAGTGAGTCCTGTAATCTATAAGAGTATATTGCACATCAAATGTTGAAAACAAACGAATCCGGAGATGTGTCGGTAATCAATAAGTTTGTACTGTCTACAGGTGGCAAGTGAAAGTGGGATAGACGGCGGACACAAAT